GGGGGCTCCTTGTGCCCCAGAGGGGGCTGAAAGGGAGGCCGCATCTGACAGGACTGGTGTACGGGAGAAATCAGCTGCCTGCCAGGTAGCTGTGGGCCTTGTTCACATCTTCCCTCAGTCTCTCTGCAACCTTCCAAAAGAAGTCACCTCCAAGGTTACTGTGCCTCTCAGGGACCCTTCTCCCTGTCCCTCTGCTCAAGCCACTTAAAGCTACCAGAAAGCAGGCCAGGCCCCTTTAAACCTTGTCTAGTGCTAGGGAAAAAAATGTGCATGACCCCAGTGTGTTGTCTAACACTGCAAAGGGCTTGTTTTCCCAAAAAGAAAATTTAATTTAACCCGAGTATACACTGTCACACTGTAAACACAGGGGCACCAGAAGGGCGGCTCACTGAATTGGATGCCCTCACAAAGAGCAGCTTTTAGAAAAAGCCAAAAATGGCTGGAATCTTTCCTGATAGCACTTCAGCAGGTGTTGGTCCAGATGTGTCTGTTTCTTCAGAGGGAGTTCCTGAGGCCCCATCTCAAGTTCAGGCTCTGGGTGTGCCCTTCCCATCTCCTCTGCTCTCAGGGCCCTTCTCCTCCCACAAGGTTGCTGGCCCTGGCCACACAGGTGGCCCCTAACGTCATGGAGGTCCCTGAAGGGAGGACAGGAGCCCTCCCCCATTGGAGGGTGAGGGCCGCTATTGCAGCTAACCTTGTCTTTCTCTGCCCATTTTCTCCAAAGGATGGCATGAACTGGGTCTGCAGAAACGTCAGTGCAAAAAAGAAATAAAATCAGACACACAGAGACACAGGAGCTGCGGGAGCCGAATTCAGTGCTGGAAACACTGATTTGCTGCTTTCTGACCAAATGTTTTTCCATCTGTGTGTGGCAGCAGCTGTTTGAAGAGAGCAACCCAGGTCCAAAAGAGTCCCCAGTCCAGCAGTAGGTCTAGCTGACTGCTGAAGTCCAGCATCACTTTTCAAATAAAAGAATTACATTATTTCCTCTGCGTAATTGAAATAGTATTAAATGTCTCAGAGCACACGGTTAAAAAATGAGATCCTTTAAGTGAGCAAGAGTGCACTGCAGTTTAGACAATTCCAGTGGGCTTTCTCCTTGAAACCAAAAAAAAAGAGCTGTGAAGGCCAAGGCCCTGAGTCTCCTGAGCCACCCCGTAGCTCCCTCACTCCATGGTCCACAACACAGACAGGTTTGCGGTGCTGCTGGTGATCTTCCCCCGTCACCCAAGCTCTGGCTCAGTCTGTGGCAGAGGGAAGGAAGGGGACAGCAGATGATTCAACCATCTTGTGCCTGAAGGAGACCCTGTAACCGACTGGTCACTGCAGAAATGCTCCCCACCCGCCAAGCAGGTTCTTGGGACTTTGACTGTAATGACACCAGGAATGTAAGGAGAGGAGGGAGGTTTAATTTCGGAAAAATTACAAAGTCCTTAAAAAGCCGTCACATGGAGGGCTTAGGCTAGTGTAAACAGGCTTTCTCCAGCTCAGTGGAGCAGGGAGCAGCGCTCTGAGATTAGCTGGCTTCTCCCAGCCACAGTCCTATGGAAGGGATTTCCAAAGCTCAAAGAATTCTGTGTCTAAATGATCACAATAGACCACTGCTATCAGATTTTAAAAATAAATGCAGCTTTACCATGAGCTGGCTCCACTGAGATAGGCCAGGCAGATCGATCTTAAGATCAGTTTTTACAGTGCTGGCAAGGAGGAGGTATGGGAAGCTGCCACCCGCCAGCCAAGAGGCTTTGCTGCCTGCCTGGAAGAGTGGGGATGATTGCAGGTGGAGTCCAGGGAAGCAGCTCCCCCACCTGCTGGTCCCCCTGCCTCTCCAGCAGGATGTGTCCCATTGATTGGAGAGAAATGGCAGAGCTGTTCCCCTGAACTTCCAGAAATCCCTGGTGTCAGCCATGGGAAAGCAGGCCAGCTCCTGAATTAAGCTCTGTTTGGGGCTAGAGCACAGGGTTTGCAGAGAATGAATGAGAGACTGTCTGGAGCCTGGTGGTCCCGGGAGGCCAGCTGCCTCCTCACCCAGGAGTAGGCTCTTGTGAACCTACTGAGGCATGGGTGGGACAGAAGGGGCATCCTCAGGACCCCGTTTTCTGAGGAGTCTGAGGAAAGGAAGGGCCTGGCCAGTTTCAAAGGCAGTTTGGGATGAAAGCCATGAACAGAGCTGACCAGGAAAAGCCTTGGGGTGCTCTGGACAGGCCTATAAGGGCTGGTAAAACAAAGGTGAGATTTTTCCACCACTGGACTCCTGGGCCCCCAAGCTCTTGTCCAGCTGTTGGCAAAACAACTGTGAGGAATCCAAAGCACTCTTCTACCACCCAGCCTGCAAACAGGCTTCGGCCCTTGAAAACTGTTTTCTTTCCACATAGTGTCCCAGGTATTTTATCTGAAGGGCAGAACCCCTGCTTTGAGGTCTGTAGTTTTGGAGCACTGCAGTCAGGGCACAGTGACTTTGCAGTGGACAGGCTGTAAAATATTTTTAGTCTCTCAACACCAGCTTTTCGAACTGCTCTAAATTGCTCTCCACAGGCTCCAGCCAGAGGCAGGAGCTGCTTGCCCTGCTCTGATCACAGCCTCTGGAAATGCTCACTTTTGCTTTTCAGCCAGAGACACAGTGCCACTGTGTACGTCACATGTTCCCTGTGAGCCCTGCTGAACCCTCCAGGGGTTGGGGGTAGATGAGAGGGGCCTGGAAAAGGCAGAGCGGAAGGGCTCTCATTCACCACAAGAAATGCTGTAAAGTCTCGGTCCTGCCTAGGCCACCACACCCTCCACGCCCTGACTAGGATACAACCTGAAAGCACACCCTCAGAGCCCTCTACTGGGTGTGCTGGGGGTGGGGTACAGGCTACAGACAGCTATGGGAAAAGGTTGGCCCTCCTCCCCACCCACTGCTTTGGGCTGCTTTGGGCTGGCTTCCCTGTGCCTCTGCAGCACACCCTTTCCCCTTACTCTCCGTTGGTTACTATGGAAACGAAGGTGTGCATGTGGGCTGTGCCTGGGAACATGTCAGCACACAGCTGATTCTGCCAGAGGTTAGCACAGTGCTAGCGGTAGAGTCGTCCGCAGCCCCGGGAGCTGTGGACAGCACCGAGCCTTACCCGTCCTCCCTCCTTGGGCTTCATTTCCTGCTGTCCTGTTTTTTCACAAACGTTTTTATTCCCTTCTAGACCAAAGCGGTAACTATTTTTATGCCATTCTGTGCCCCACCCTCCCTAGTGGCCGCTCCTGATCCAGCATGGCCCAGAGGGTGATACCACGTCCCCCTCACCAGGACTGTCCCTGAGTCCCCATCACAATGGGCTTTGATTTCTCTCTCCTTCCCTTCCTTTTATTTTTAGCTCTGTGCTCTGTGTGGTTTCAGGGTTCAGTCTGATCCAGCGAGAGGTTCTTTTTTTATAGTCCCCTTTGAAACTGATAATCAAAGAAGGCACGTGGTGTTTGGTCATGCGAAAAGCTCAGCATATAATTTAGGCGTCTGTCAAGAGTGTGACAAATAAAGTGTAGCTGGGACCAAGGCCTCCTGGATGCGCTCTGGTCTTTGCAGAACCTCAGGGGCGCAGGGAGCCCCTCATCTCCACTCACTGGGTGGTGTGGGTGCTGACACCACTAGCAGCAGCCTGGCCACCAGCCTTCCTCAGGCTCCTCCACTTGTGTGGCTTCACAGCTGAGGAGACGGGCGTTTGCCTCAGTGAACCAAGCCCTAATGGCAAATGGAGCTAGAAGCCTGGCTCAGCGGCCACCTCTGGAGCACAAAAACTGAATGGGCTGGACACAGTGGCGCACACCTGCAATCCCAGCACTCTGGAGGCTGAGGCAGGAGGATCACTGCTGAGTTACACAGTGAGCCTGAACTAACAGTGAGCCTTGTCTCAAAAACAAAAACCAGTAAAGAGGGCGGGGGATGGAGCTCCATAGCAGAACATACTTCGGTTCCCACAAAACCCAAAACACCATGCTGTGAACGGCCCGCCTCCCCAGCTTCAGCCCTCAGTCCCGTCCCATACTGGTTAGCACTGTCCCATAGGCCACTCATCCCAGCTGTTGGATGTTGTCTGTCCCACTATAGGAGCACAGCCTTAGATTTTATGGCACCCTTTGTACAATGTCAGCCTCGAAAAACCAAGAAAGGAGACACACACACACACACACACTGGGAAAGTGGGGCTGGCAGGAGGCTCACTGCTCCGCAGTCCTGGCCCTGGGCCTTCCTGTGAGGGAGCTCCCTGGAATCTGGTGACAGGACTAGGGTTTCGGGGCCAAAGACCGAGACCACCCCTCTAGCAGCTTCCAGAGGCCACTGCCCCACTGGCCCAGAGGGCCCTGCGCTTAACAGACAGGCTGTTGACAGGAGTGGGGCACCAGAGACAGGAGAGAGGGCCTGAGGGTCCCTGGAACATCATGGGACATTCAGTTCCACTCCAGTTTCAGGTAAACAATGAAGATGTGTTTCTAAAAAGTGAATAGTGTGGGGCAAGGGATTTAGCTCAGCGGCACAAGCGCCTTGCCTGGCAAGTGCAAAGTCTTGAGTTCAATTTCTGGTGCCCCCCCAAAAGTGAATAATGTTTAATTTTTAAATTCCCCTGGGGGCTGGGGATTTAGCTCAGCGGCATAAGCACCTGCCTTGCAAGTATGTGGCACTGAGTTCGATCCCCGGTACTGATAAAAAAAAAAAAATTAAATTCCCCTTGAAATATTTGTGGCATCATTTTTATTTATTTATTTTGGCTTTTTTGGAACCCTAATTCAGGCTGGCCTTGGACTCCGACTCACAGTGTAGCACAGGATGGTCTGGAACTGAAGGCAGACCGCCTCAGTCTCCCGAGTGCTGAGAGTATAGGTGAATGCCACCACGTCCAGCTGTGACATCATTTCAATACTCAGGAAAATTCATTGCTACTCTGAAATTCAAGTTTAACTGGCCATCCTGGTTTTTGTTTTTGTTTCAGTGAATCTCACAGCCCTACCCAGGACTCAATAAGGGGACAACGCCGTTCAGTTAAAACATTTATTCTCTGGAGCCAGAGAGACCCAGATTCAACCCTGCCTCATCCCACCCATAGGTCCGCTCTGTGACTGCAGGCAAAGTGCTGTCCTCCAGTCCTGAGCATGCTGTGCCTCCTCATCTACGAAACGGGCAGAAGAGGCAGGAGAAAGAAATAATGTAAATTAAATGCCAGGACTCAGGGCAATGCCTAAGCCACAGTAGAACACACTGCCCCGTAGTTTCTTTATCTGTAATAATCATCTTGTTGTCCAGAGGATTAGAGAAGATTGTGTGTGTACAGTGTAGAAATCACCCGGTAGCCGGCATGGTAACTAGCAGGAATTCCTAAACCCAGGGTCCGCCTCCAACCCTTCCTCTGTGGTTCTGTGACTTTCAAAGCAACAAACAAGGGGCAAGCTAGTCCCCACCTGCTGGCAGCCCTGGTTGGGGGGGGGGTGTCCAGGCCCCTGCAGCCGTGATCCTAGGGAGTGGAGCAGGTTCCAGTGGAGACTCCTGGTTGGCTCCAGGCAGAAACACAGCATAGAGCTCAGTAGGCTGCATGTTAGGGACCCTGCCCCCCACCCCAACTGCAATCTGTTCTGTAATTTCCCTTTCCAGCACTGCAGAACACAGTGCTGCAGCCACCAGGAGCAGACAGGAACAGAAAGCATGCTGCAGCCGTGCAGCAGGTCTCGTGCAGGGACATGGGACTTGGAACTTGGACAGCCAGCAGCCAACCCCAGTGGTATCAGTTCAGGAAGAACTGTGCAGTGCCCACTCATGCCAGGAACTTTGCACTTATTATCTTACTGAGGCCTTGCAAAGACATTAGTAACCGTCAATGTTGCCAGCCACAATCAGAGACCAGGGAAAATGTCACAGAGTGTGAATCCCTCAGCCAGGATCACCTAGGAAATAGAGGTAGAATTCAAATCCGTGTCTGTTGGCTGGGTCCAAGATACCGTCTTTCTTTTACTTCTTCTAAGGCTCTGCTCTCAAAAAATGGAAGGAATTCTGCACAGAAAGACAGGGAGAGTTTCTTAGCATGCACAGGGATGACGCATGGACAAAGTGCCTTTGCTAAAGAAATGAAGTATTAATGAAGGAGCCGGCCAAGGCAGGATGGAGGTGCTTGCAGGGGTACCTGAGGCCCAAGGAGAAGGCGCAGTGCAAACCGCTATCCCTTTAGCAACAGCTGAGCAGATTCCTGTGCCTACTGGACAGTTACTATCCCCTGCTCCCAGACTGCTCCCAGATAGGACACCGAGACTTGCAGAGTTTGAGGCACTTTACGGGAAGTCCACAGCTAGGGAGTGGTTTCACTGGGGTCCTTTTGGCTCCCTGCTCTAAGTCCTTTTTCTCCAGGACAAAGTCCTGACCAATGAGAAGTTCTGCAGGATCATCGGGAGAGTGGGCTCCAGACACAGGTGAGCAACTGACTCTTCACCGCCTGCCCTGCCAGGGCCCATGGGACCCTTCTGCTGCTGCTTTAGCACCCCCTTCCCTGAAATGAAGGGAGTCACTTGCGTTGGGCACAAACCACACTGGCAGCGGCCCAACTGGGTCTACGGCACTTCCCTGCAGCCAGTCCCCAGCCACATGCATACCTACTCTTGGGGGCTGGAGCTCAGCAGCCTCCTGTCTGGCCTCCTCTGCTGCAGGAGGTCAGGGTGAAGCATTTCGGACTGGCACACCCCCAGCCCCTCTGAGCTGTCTAAGGTGCATGGTATGCCTGCTGTGGGGCTTCTGAATATGAGTGGAGTTTTCCCTGAGCTTCCAGATGACAGGGCCAGTTGTCCTGCTTGGACACCACAGATGGCCCCTGGAAAGACATGACTCAGAAGCTTTGGTTTGTTGGCAACATTATCCCAGGACTAGGGGACCCAGCCCAGCACAGGTCTCCTCTTTGTGTTACCCTGCTCCTATGCTGGGTAGAGAAGCAAAATTCAGCCTAGGTTCACCTTGACTCACTCCACTGGAGATTTTTTTCTTTTTTCTTTTCTTTTCTTTTGGTGCTGGTACACTTGGCGCTTGTGCCACTGGACTAAATCTCACGGGGGAGAGGCAGCAGAGTGGCACAGGGAGGATGCTGGTGCAGCCCCCACCCCTATCCAGGAATGGGCCCTGCACCCTGCCTGCCCGTTGCACTGACTTGATCCCATGGGCCCCGAAGAACAGGAAGCAGCAGCACCACAGGCATTATCCAGACCCATGGGTGGTGCAGATGATGCTCCCATCACCCCCATCCCATCCGCAGCTGCTGCCAGCCCCTGTGCCAGGACAGCTGTGGACCTGAGGCCAGGCTGCTGTGAGCCCCAGACACCCTCCCAGCACACCCACCCCCCAACCATGCCCACAGCCTTCATTTGACCCATTTTGGAGGCAGAAGTCCGGGTGTTTCAGAGAGAGGGCCACACCATTTCCCCAGGTGGTGCTTTTGATTTCCTCTGAAGCCTCTTGATTGGAGACACACAATGGCATCTTGCTGCTGCTCCAGCTTTTTCAGCATCCCTGGCTCTGTGCCGCCTTCCTGAGCCGAGCTGGGGTTTTCTGCTGACTTGCAGGGAAGGAGAAGGCCTGGCCCTGGCTTCCAGAGGGTGGGTGTTCCTGTGCCCCCACCTCTTTGTTCCTGCTCACAGGGACTCCTCTCTCCTCCCCTTGACCACTCCTTGGTGGAGCCCTCATGCTAAAAGGCAGCTCCTGGGCTCAGAGCCCTTCAGAACCTTTGCTGCTAGAGCATGCTCAAGCCAATTGGCCTGGCGTTCAAGGCCCTCTGATCTAACCTTAACCTAGTTTTTTTCAACGTTAAGGATTGGATCTTTGCACATCCCTAGCCTTATCCCTTACTTATTTTTAATTTTGAGACAAAATTGTACCAAGTCACTAGGTTGACCTAGGGCTGGAAATTGGGACCCTTTTGCCTCAGCCTCCCAGACTGTGGTGGGAGTGCAGGCATATACTGCATCCTAGAATCAACCTGTGCTGACTCTGTCCCCTCACTGTCTCCCTGGCCTTGTCACCAACTGCTGTGTTCCCACTCCTTCCAGCCACACTCACTCCTGAGTTTCCTGAAATGAGTCCTCTGCTGAGGCAACATTTTTGTTCCAAATGTCTCCAGATCTTGCCCCATGACGTTCTTGAGGTTTCTGGTGAATGTTACCTTCCCCAACTGTCTCCTTCTAGAAAGTTTCTTCTCCTTTGTGGCACTCACAGCCAACTCTCCAGCTCACACTTGCCGAGCATCTTCTGCTCCTTCCTCACCCATGAAGGAAATTGAGCTCTGCAGTGGCAAAGTCTGTCCTGTTCAGTGCCACTGTTTTCATACTGGAGCAAGGCTGTGTACCAGAAGCTCCCAGTGAGTTCTGTAGGAATGAATGAATGAAACACTGTGCTAGATTTTTATTTTATATTTTATTTTATTTTGTCTTTTTGAGACAGGGTCTCACAGTGCAGTTCAGAACTCGCTTTCTAACCCAGGCTGGCCTCGAACTTGCAGCGATCTTCCTGCTTCAGCTTCCAAGTGCTGGGATCACAAGTGTGCATGACCACACCTGGCTGTGTTAGACTTTATTTATTTAGTTAGTTAGTTTGGGTACCAGGGATCGAACTCACAACCTCGCACTTGTCAGGCTGGTGCTTGTGCTGCTGAGCTATATCCCCAGTTCCCTATGCTAGAGTTTAAAAAATCAAAAATACTTCATAATTTGTGTTCTCCAGGGATTTGCAGCTTAGGGCCTCGCTGAAATGGAAGCTGTGGGGCTTGGAGTGTAAACCACCAGCGTTACACACCAGGAAGGCAGCAGGTGAGGCGTTCATACAGCTGGCCTCAGGAGCTGGAACCTGCTCTGGCTTCTGGGGCCTAAGTGCTGGCTGTAGCAGGTCAAGCGGTCGTCTCTCTGCTCCTTCGTTGCGTCTGGAGAGCAGTGGAGGCTGTGCAGAGGAAGGAGGCTTTGCAGCCACACAGAAGCAGTAAGTCCAGAGCCCTGGGGTGTGGGACTCCTCAGCTGCTGGAGGACTCACTCGCAGAGTTTGGTGTGGCTGGTGAGTTCCGGTTAGGCCCTGAGGTACCTTCTGCTTCTGTGCCCTTCTGTTTTATCAGGCAGCAGGCGCACACGGATGGTAGCTGGTAACAACATCCAGTTCCCAGTCAGGCAGCCAGTACACCCACAAGTGAAATGACTGCCATGTTTTTCCAGGTTGACCAGAAGTCTGCATAATCCTTCCACTCAGTTCTCAGAGTCTACTTCTAGCTTGCAATGTTGAGATATTTTCGATGTTACCGCTAATGTCCCCTTCATATGAGCTGCATATGGTGCCCCTAACACACCTCCACACCTTCATCTGCAATTTACATTGATGAAAAATAACCTATGGGGGGCTGGGGATTTAGCTCAGTGGCATAAGCGCCTGCCTTGAAAGCAGGCAGTCGTGAGTTCGATCCCTGGTACCGATAAAAACGAAAAAGAAAAAACAAAAAAACAAAAAACCAACCTATGGCCCAGAGCAAGCAGGAAGACCCAATTACTAGAGATCTAGTGCAAACAAAAGCCATAAATACCCCAGTTTCCAGCAGTTGGGAGAAAACCACATAGCAATAAGAGAAAACTGGTCTCCTGTGGAGGACGCACTCAAAAGTCTCCAGCTCAGAACTCAGGGTTCCGTGGAAGTCCATCACAGGTCCAGGAATTATTAAGGGCAGGAAAGCAGGTGTGCAATTTCCCCATAGCATGGAGAACATGGCAGGGATCTGAGCTCCGGCCACCACATCTTTCTTTTTTTCTTTTTTTTATTATTATTATTATTTTTTTTTTTGTCTTTTTCCTTTTTATCGGTACCAGGGATCGAACTCACGACTGCCTGCTTGCAAGGCAGGCACTTATGCCGCTGAGCTAAATCCCCAGCCCCCTTTTTTTCTTTTATTCTTGTTTGTTTGATTGGTCATTTGGTTGTCAGACAGGATCACGCTGCCCTTGAACTCACAGTGACTCTCGCCTCAGCCTCCTGAATGCTGAGACTACGATGTGCGCCACCACACCTGCCTCCAGATTTCTACTTGTTCTTAGAAAGGACTTCCGATGTGGAAGGGAGTCTTGGAATTGTAAACTGACTGTCACTGGTCTAGGTCCCGACATGGAGAGGAGGAAGGTTGAAGGCAGAATGCTAGGGAAAAAAGGACAGGGAGGGAAACAGTGATGTTCTTGAGGGAATGCCTGCCTCCCTTTTCTACGACTCTTGCCCCACGGCTCTGCCCGCTACCGCAGCTAGCGCAGAAGGCTCTAGAATCTTGCCCCTGAAGGATTTAAGCCTCAGACCCCTGGCCCAGCATCTCTGTACAGGGTGGCAGGGGCCCAGGACACTCAGTCCAGAAGCAGGTCCAGGGCCCAGGTCTAGCGACCACTGCTTCCAAAGTGCTTTCAAGGAAGACAGCTCCAAAACTACACACGGGATACTCACACCCTAAATGGTCCGGACGTCCAGGAGTCATGGCCCCCTCCCCCAGGCTCCCTTAAGATCACCCCCACTTCATCCTCTCGCAGAAGCCCCGGGGTCCGGATCTCTCCTTTCCCCTCTTCCCCCAGCGAGAACACCAGGTACAAAGCGGGGGTGGGGCTGGGCTGGGCCCCGTGCCCCGCTCTGCTCCGGAAGAAGGTGGCGGTATCCGAGGTGGGGAGTGACGACAATACAGGTCTGACCGGGTGGCTGCGGAGAGCCCCGCAGGAAGGCCAGCAGGCGGGCCAGGCCCGCAAGAGAGGCCGCGGAGCCGCGCGGCGCTCCGCCCCGGGGCGCCCTTTTCCTCGGAGCCGCGGGGTCCAGCTCTGTCCCCGCCCCGCCCTCTTCCCTCCCCGGTGGCGCGGGGGCGTTTCCGGCCCCACCCCCGCTCGCAGCTGTTTCGCAGCTGCAGCAGGCCGCCCGGGACAGCTGGGAGCGGCCGCGACATGAAAGGCCGGCCTGGCCTCCTCCTGCTCCGCACATCTGGGCCTCCGGAGCCGCCGCCCGGCCCGCGGAGTGGGGAGACACGGTGGGCACCTGGCCCTACTCGGAAAGGACAGGCCCGTGGCCTCTGGGGACATTCTGATGGGGGTTGGCTGTGGGGGTGGGGGCGAGCCTTCTAAGCCATCAGTGTCCTGGGGCAGCTCCAGCTCTTTTTGGGCCCCCTTTGCCCCTGACTCTTTGGGGAGGTGGTGAGACAGCTGCTTCAACAAAGCCGGGGACAGCTGGATGGGGTTAGCATCTCCTTGCTTCCCTGGCTGCGCCAGCCGGTAGTGTCCCTACAGCTGCGTGCTGTGTCACTGTGAGGGTGGCTTTAGGGTTGCGTGGTGGTGGGACTTGAGCCCCTCTTACCATGTTCCCTCCTCTGTGGCTGAATGTGGTGGATGTGGCTGAAAAGCGGCACTGCCCATCAGCCAAAGGGAAACTAGGCCAAGTGGGTAAGAGCTTGGGCAGCTTCCTGCCTTGGCTCCAGCTCTTGGCATGGTTAATGTGCCAGGGCTCATGACAAACTGGAGGACAGTGAGACAGACAGCAGATGTGCGCGAAGCTCATTCTGTCCACCAGCACCTGCACCCTCCCATTTCAGGCTGCAGGGCCACCTTGCTCAGCCACCACCACCAGCCCCTCCTTTTCCCCACACAGGTGCAAGGTGAGGGACAGTGAGGCAGCTATCTCCCTCCTGCTCCTGGCTGCGCTGCCTGCCTGACTGGGGAGGGGGCCCCATGAAGCACAGGTCTGCCCTGCCCAGAACCCCATTCTGCAGGACAGATGGATGTGGCATCAGGAGGCTCTGTGTCTCCTGTGCCCTGGGCTGGTGCAAAGCCTGATCACCTGCCTGCCCCTTTATTTTCTTAGGGCTGGCCAGGACCACTGACCCATAGACAACTGCCAGGGACTCTAACCAGTCCCCCCAGACAAGGAGGAAAGAGGTGCCCACAAAGGCTGTGCCTTCTATTAAGGGAGGATCACATGGGCTCACCTGACAAGATTTACACAAAACATCAGGGCTTTTGGAACATCTGGTAGCCAAGGTAGGGGGACTGTAAATTGAGTCTTGTTTGAATAACAGCAAAATTAAAAAGGAGTGGTGGGAGGATTTAGCTCAGTGGTACAGCACCTGCCTGGTAAGCAGAGGTCCTGAGTGTGACTCCTAGTGCCCTGCCTCACAAAGAAGTGGGGGACAGGGATGCAGCTCAGTGGGGCAGGTCCTGCCTGGGTTCAATCCTAACTGCTGTCAAAAACAGAAAAATCCCCAAAGCTAGGGATGGTGGCTTTTGAAAGCCCAGCATTCAAAAGGCTGAGGCAGGAAGATTCTTGGGAGTGAGACCAGCACAAAGTGAACTCACGGCCATCCCGAAATGCATAGCTGAGGACATAGCTCAGTGGCATAAGTGCCTGCCCAGCAAGCATGAGGTCATGAGTTCAAGCCTTGGTTTAAAAAAAAAAAAAAAAAGCAAAAAAAATGAAAATCCAAAAAAAAATCTTACAAACCTCATCATGCTGCTAAGTGGAGAGCAAGCCATCTGCAAAGCACCAGTACCCCACCACCTATCTCCCAGGGATTAGCCCCTCAGATCAGGGCCTTGCTTCTCAGTTCCTGCACTGGGAATCTCCAGGGGTTAGGAATGCAAATTCCTGGGGTCTGTTTCCCACTGAAACTAAGAAGGAGCCATGAGTTTTGTTGCGCTTGAGTCTGAAGAGTGGCAATGCAGACATCTCTTCACCTGCACCATCTTCACCTCATCTACAAGTATGGAGGTCAGTGGCCCCACTCCCTGTGGGGGCCCAGCTGTTTTGCCTCTAAGCCTGCAGCCCTGCAGTGCTTGGCACATAGTATGTGCTCAATAAAACATTTGTGGGCTGCAGGAGGTAAGCTCTGTAAAACTCACAGAAAGGTCCTCTCCATGTATCCTAGCCAGCAGCAGTGCAGAACTTCAGAGGTGTGGTATAGGCCTGGGAGACCTTGAGCAAACATTTATCAGATGAAGCCAGTCATGAGCAGATAGTCAGAGCTTGAACTGACACAGGCTGGAAATCTAGTTTGAAAAGGGCACAATGGAGGGGAGCAGGGGCTTTGTCCCCAAGGCTGGGCTAGGAGGTAAGGCAGGGAGCGGGGCTGCACCATCATATTTATTAGAAGTGGATTTCAGTGTGTGCTCTATACAGTACAGAATACCTGCACCCTGAGGATAGCAAGTCCACAATGTGTCCAAAGTGCTCACTACAGGGAAGGGCTGCATGGCTCCGGGCGGGGATCTGGCTCCGGCAGCCCTTGCTCCTTCACTGACTTCCACAAGGGCTGTGCTATCATTTTTATTATTTATTTCTCTTTATTATTATTAATATTATTATTTGCTTTTGCTGTGGTCACTATCATTGGCAAAGTCCCTTTTCCCCTTTCCTGGACCCGAGGCTATCTACAGATTCCTCTTTGCTTGAGAAGCAGCCTTTGACTTCCGTCTGGGAAGATGAGGAAAAAGGAGAAATCATTCTTGGCTTTAAAAAAAATAATAAAAAAAAAAACCTCCCACAATCTCTAGGTCATTCCTTTCTCCATCAGTGATCAAACTGCCCCCCCCAATAAAAAAAACCAGAAGGTTAGAGAAGCAGGTGGGGGGTGGGGGGGGCCTTCCTTGGGGCAGGTGCCCAAGGCTTCCGAACAAACCTAGGCTCCTTCCAGCCCCAGGGGCGGGAGGGGAAAGGCATGGAAGAAAACGGGGAGACAGCGCCGTGAGAGTTTTCCCAAATCTAGGGCCACCTGTGGCCCGGGCCTAGAACAGCTCCCACTGTCACCTCTGTGTCCAGGAGATTAAAAAACAAAACAAAACCAAGGTAAAAAACAAAGGCCCAAAAAAATCCAGAAGGAAAAGCTGGGGGGTGGAGTGAAGGAGGAAGGAGGCAGGAGGGCGGGCCTCTGGATGCAGTGTTTCCAAGCCACTGGGGCAGGGGAGGGTCCCAATGTCTGCTGCCCGTGGCGTGGCGTGGCGTGGCGTGGCGTTAGCTTGTCACGTAGTGTTTGGTGGACGGCTGCCCGTACACCCTGTAGAAATCCTGGTGGCCAGGCTGCTGGGAAGCGTCGAGCCAGTCTCTGACGGCCAGGCCGGGAAGGGACTGGGGCACAGAGGGTGCAGGTGGCAGTGGGTGAGAGTACTCCTGTGAGGGCACCGTCCAGGGGAAATGGCCGGAGCGGGGATAGGGCTGGTGGCCACCATGGTTGGCCACAGAAGAACAGTAACAGTTGTCCACAGAGCAGACGAGAATCTTGCGGCCGCCGTACTGAGAGAGCATGGGCTGCTGGGTGGCAGAGCCATTGGGGTACTGCGACGGGGGGAACACAGGGCTTGAGTGTACTGGTTGGGCGCCACCTGGCAGGGCCACCAAGTGCTGTGTAGAGCTGCAGGGCCCCAGGGGCTGCCCGGACTGGCCCTCGCCGCTGGCTGTGCCAGCTGCCCCATACTGGCTGCCCACAGGGCCTGAAGGTGTCTCTAGGAAACTGGCCTCAGGGAAGGCTGTTGAGTGCTTGCGCTTCTCAGCCCCAGAGCTGCTCACACCACAAGGGTACAGGGGGACGCTCTGCAGGAAGGGCACAGGTGTGCTGAAGGGGCCTGCGGAGAAGGCAAGGCAAGGGTCGTCAAAGCGCCAAAGCGCCAAAGCACCTGGCCCGGCGGCCAGGCCTCTTCTGCAGGGGCCCCTACATCTGGAGAACCAGTGTGTGCCAAGCTGCTGGATGTCCCCCCTCCTCCAACAGCTGAAGACAGTAATCCTACCTTCCAGACACAGGCGGGAAGAGGCTAAGCTGGACATGAAGAGACTCCAACCAGGCCACACTAGCCCTGGTGGGAAGGGGCTGGGCCTTCAGCCTATGAAGGCAGAGCTCTGGCTCCTGGGGGGGACCCCGCCCTCACCTTCCAGCATCTTGCGCAGCTGCTTCTCCTTCTTGGCTACCTCATTCAGGAAGAGCTTGGAATTCAGATGGCCAATCTTGGGGGGTGAGAGGCTGCTGCCCGTGCAGGTCTGGGTTCTGGGGGCAGTGGATGGGGTGGTTGCTGTGAGGAGGTGTCACCAGTGAGCCTGCCCACCGCCCCTGCGGGCCTGGCCTCTGACCCCCACATGCACATGCATGTGTATGTACCAAGGCCAGAGCATCTGCTCACCTGTCCATCAGGATCTTCACGGACTTGGTGTTCTGTAGGGAGAGGAAAGAGTCATGCGGTGGGAAAGGGAAGACAAAAGCTACGCACCCTCCATGTCGCCAGGCACAGTGACAAGTGGCAAGGGAGCGTGCAGGGCCACCAGTTTTGGGAACCACAACAGCCATTTTGTGAGCACTTGCCAGCAGAGGGACCTCACACCTGTTACTTCAGCTGCAGGGCTGTGCAGAAGCTGGTTCCGCAGGCCTCTTACCTCTCATCTTCTGAAGGTGTTGGGGCCAGATTTATTTTAAAACTTGAAATGTTTTAGAATTCAGAAGAGAAACGTGCCTAGGCCACATCACCCCAGCAGGACACTGATGGAATCCAGTGACACTTCTGCAGCAAGAGGTTTGGATTTTCATACCCATGGGACACAAAAAGACCACATATGGGGCTGCCATCAGTTCTGGTCAGCTTTTGCTGTTAAATTGGTTTCTGAGGCTTTCCTGGCATTTTAAAGTCCTGACTAACAGATGAAGGGCCTGTACTATCAGCCCCATTTTACAGGGGGCAGTCAGGGTGCGGGGTGGGGTGGGCACACCAGCAAAGGCTGGTGGAGCCCTCTGGGTACATCCGGGGACCCCCAGCACCTTCATGAAGCTGATGTCCTCTGTCTTGTCGAAGAGCAGCTGCAAGGAGCCGAGCAGCTTCTTGGCCTCCTGCATGCGCTCACCAAGCTGCAGCGCCTGCGCCGCATTCTCGCTGCAGAACTTGGCCTGTGCCTTGTCCAGTGCTTCCACTGTCTGCCGCAGGTCTTCATCCAGTAGCTGGTGCAGCTTCTCGTACTGTAGCCGCACCTCCTCCTTCAGCTGGCTCACCTTCTCCTGCAGGTGGGCAGCGACCAGAGCGGGCAGGGAATGAGCAGGTGGGCATGGCTCCAGCAGGGCTCGTCTTCTGAAAGGTCCCACGGAGCTGGCCAGAGCCCCACACACCCTCCCCCTCCTGGGCCCAGCAGCTCTACCTCCACCAGGCGCTTGTCAGACTCCAGCTTGTAGAGCTGGTCCTCGATGTCCTGCTCTCGCTCCTCCAGCCGGTCCTGCTGCTTCATGAGCATCTTCTGCAGAGGACGGGGGTGGGGGGTGGGGGGTGGGGGGGTGGTCAGGGTGCCAGCCACACTAACCCTTACCAGGAGGGGGCTGGACACCCCCACGTGACTGGCTTGTCTGAGAGGCTGTTTATCCCCGCCAGCCCCTTCTGGCCCCGTGCAGTTTAGGGGCCTGCTGAGATGTCGGGCCGGCTTGTGGCCTGTTCCCAGCAGGTGCAGGCAGGCCTTGGTTCTAAACCCTTTACCTAGACAGACTTATCTGACCATCTCAGCAACACAATACAGTAAGTTCTGGCATTTCACAGAAGAGGAAACTGAGGCCCAGGGAGGTTAAGCAACTTGTATAAAATCACACAGCCAATAAATGCCCCGAATCTAGGTGATCTGGCAGCAGACCATGTTCCTAACCTGCCAGGACCCTCTCAGAGGGGAGGCTCTGAGAGTAGGAGGTCTGATCATCTTCCCACAGGCCCTTGCACTTACTCCAAAGATGTCATGAGGCTGTTATGCCCTGCAGGCCTCCCGAGCTCCCTCAGTGGAATGGAGGCAGAAAGGAGATCTTGCTCTGGGACGCAGCTGCTCTTCTGGATAGTGTCAGACCCAGTGAATCTTAGCTCTCACTCTCCTGTCCCCACAGTCCCATCCCCCTACCCTTGCCCTCACCTGCACACCTCTTCACACAGGACCTCTTCCTAGCTCAAGCACCCCCCAGAGCTCCCTGCTCTCCAGCTGCAGCAAGGCCACTCCTGGCCAGCTGGGCTGACATGCTGCCCTAGCACACAAACGTCTGAACCCCCAGCTCTGCGGATGCACTCTTCTCTCCTCCTCAAGGCCCAACCCTGGGAAATTCTCTGCCATCCCTGTTTGCAGTCTGCACTGGCCCTGTCTATCTTGGCCACGAAGCAGGCTGTGTACTTCTGCCCCATGCCTATCCACCTTGCTGACCCGCTGCCAGTCAGCCAGGCCTTGCAGAGCTGATCACACTGAGCAGATCCATGGCCATTGCGCCAGGGGAGGTTTACAGAGTAGGCCTGGCACTCACCCTCCCACACTCACCCTCAGCAAGTGTCCCCTCAGCAGAGGGGCTCTTCGGCTCCCCTGAGATTGACGTATGACCTGCTCCTGGCCTAAGCCAGCTGGCTTCCCAAAGCCAAGTTGCCAAGTCTCTGCCTTATGCTCCAAATCCATTTTACATATGGAGACAGTGAGGCCAGCAAGACTTGATCCAGAGCCGGCTTCAGCTTCATGCAGGCAGCTATCCTAGAAACAAGGCCCCAGGGTCCTGGAACAGCAGGGCAGGGTGGGGCTCTTGCTTTAAGCTAGAGAAATCGTGCCCCCACCCCCAGTCAGCTTTGCCTTTCAGAGAGCAGCACAGGACTACTGGTAAGGACCCAGGACACTGCTTCACCCCAGGCCTTCCTGCTCCCCCTCCATGCCATAATAACCCTCAAACTTTGTTTTTTTCGAGACAGAGTCTAGTTATACAGTGTGGACTGGCCTCAAACTCACAGCAATCTTCCTGCCTTAGCCTCCTGAGTGCTGAGATTATAGGCACACACCACTACAAACACCTGGTTGTCATCAAACACTTGGCTGCTTGTTGCCCCACACCCACACATGCTTGGGAGGACAAGGACCCAGGGGACACCTCAAAGTCCAGGGCACTCATGATGTCCCAGTGCCCAGGCCCCCACTTACCCCACACCTGGTACTGAAGTCTCCCTTCCCAATTACTTCTAGCCACACATCCATTAGTACAGACCAGGGGTGCACAGCTGAGTCCCCAATGAGGCGCAGCTCAGGCAGCTCCCAGGTTCCCAGGACCCCCAGGGTCAGAGGCCAGGTGCACCTCAGCCCCTTCCTTTTTCCAGGTATTGTTGGTGTTTCTACCCGGGGAGCCATAAGGGTCTCCTTAGCTTTAGGGTCCAGGACCCCCAGAGGAGCACAGCAAAGATGAGCAGTCCCACTCCCAGAAGGCAGCTAGGCCTCAGCTCCCACTCCCACCAGACCACAGAGCGGCCCTTTGCGGTGGGGCTGGAGACGGGCAGGAAGTCAAGCTGCTCAGAGGTGGCTGCTGGTGGGAGGGTTTGGTACCACACTGGCCAGGCCCATTGTCCTCCCAGGCCAGGTGATCAGAATCCTGCTGTGGCCTGCCTGGGGGAGGGGGAAGGTACTGTTACCTCTAGCAGCTGGGAAAGGGGAGGCATCAATGCCAGAGAGCCTCCAGGAAACAGAAGCAAGACCTATACCCAGCACCCTTCTTTCCAAACACCTGCCTCCCCAGGAAATGTGATTTCGCACCTGGGAAAGCCCCCAGCAGAGGTGGGAGCACATTTCCCAATCCTCCATCCTGATGCAGGCCTGGGGGGGCTGCAAGGAGGCGCTGCAGACTTCTCAGCCACAGGGGACTACCTGGGGTGTGGGGGAACCATGGGGCAGCATCCCTGCTGCAGCCCCATCCCTGCTCCTCAGGGCCTCAGGCCTCTCTGGGGTCTGCTCCTAGGCCTTAGACAAAAGCATTCTGTCTTTCCATCCCAATCCACCTAGGCCCAGGGCCCCTGCAGCCATGGGCTTGCCCAGGAGCAGGTTCCTTCAGGCCCTCCCAGAGGGGCAGTCCTAAGCCTGCAGAGGGGCAGTCCTAAGCCTCTCCATTCCCACCCTCTCAAACCTCAGCTCTCAGTGCACCAGCCAGGCCCTGATGGCATTTTTGCTGCTACACTGGCCCAGGCAGGCGGGTGAGGCATGGGGACTCTAGGCTGTATAAGTTAATAAATAATAATAATAAAACCCAAAATTCAGCCTTGCAGAGAGGCAAGGTCAGGAGGGATCGGGCTCAAGGCTGAGGTGGAAACCCCCAGGATGGGGTTGGATTGTTGGCCTCAGGCCTATATGGCCAGAGCTAGCTAACTTCCCTTAGGCTGCCAACTCCATGCCTGATCTCAGGAGCTGGTGGCCTGCCCTTCTCTCCCTGCCCTCACCCCCTTTTGCCTGCTTTGGGGTACCACGCAAAGGCTGGTGGGGGAGTCAGCACAAGGAGAAGTAGTGACAGGGGCTTCCCAGCTTCCCAGCTGTGGAGATGAATTAGCTTTTGCCAGGCAGAGAGCAAGCACTCTGGGGCAGCAGAACAAAGAGGAGGGAGAGAAAGCCCCCCTTTGTCTGGGCTTGAATGCCAGGCCAGCCAGAGAGGAAGGGTTCTCAAGGCTGGGGACTGGCCAGCCCAGCTAGCCTGGCTTGGCCCAGGGCAGACAGCCCACCTTGGCACTGTCAGAGCCAGTACCCTCTCTGGCCATGGTCCACCCCAGGGGGAACCCCATATCCCCAGTACCCCACAACAAATGGCTAAAGAAAGCGCTTCCCCCCACTGTTCCAGGACCCGGGACCTAGAGGGCCCTCACTGTGGCAGCTCAGGCCTGTACTGAGGCAGTTGCGTCAGCAGCAGCAAAGCTGTGCTCAACTTTCCCATGCAGGTGCTGGGCCACGGTGGAGCCAGCCGGCCTCACTGGCTCCACGCACACCACACCCTCACAAAGAGGCACAGAGAGTTAGTCACAGGAGACACACAGCCTTGCAAACAGAGCACTTGGGGCTGCAGGAGACACAGTCATCAAGGGGCAGCCTCAGGGCTCTGCTATGTCTGCAGGACAGGGGTAAAGGGGGCTCTGCCAGGGAAGGCCGGACCAGGCCCCCGTGTCAAACTCTGTCTCTGTCTCCCTACCCTTTCTGAGGAGTTCAGGTCTGCGATGCCACTTCCCACCCCCCAGGGCAGGGCCCTCAGCTTTACCTTGGACAGGAGATGGCCAGGCTCCACCCAAGGCACTGAGCTCACACTGGCACCCCCACCCCGTCAGGCCTTCTCACCCAACCCTGGGGACCAGAAGAGGACCGGTCTGTCCAGGGCTACCAGGCCTCTGCCTACCTGCACACTTCAATCCTGGCCTCTCAGCCCCATGGGGGAAGCACACACGGGGATCTAGGCATGTCCTAGGGAGCAGTTTTAGGGCCCATCAGGGTTCAAGCACTGTGGCTGGCACACTGGTTTCCCAGGGCACACAGGGTAGCACCCTAACCTGCAGAGGGAGGCAGTGCAGAGACCTGACCGCCCCTGCCTTCCAGGCCAAGGGCTCCAGTGCACAAACTGAAGGGTGCAGTCCCAGGAAGGGGTGTGTGATGCTTGTAGCCAAATGATCCAGCCCATCCACAGCCCTCGGGAGGGCAGGGAAGGGAAACTGAGTCTAGGCTTTAAAACCTGTACCTGGTCCTTGTGCTCTACTGGTACCCTGGAGAAGGTTACTGCCCTTATGCAGGGCAGCAGCAAAGGCCCCATGACAGACTCCCTCCAGCAAGGGCCAAAGTCAAGGCTCTTCACCTGTTTGGCCTGGAGGGGGCTGGGTTCCTCCATGTTCCCCAGGCTCAGGCTCAGGCTCAGGCTCAGGCTCAGGCTCAGGCTCAGGCTCACTCTCTAGCCCACAGCAGCTGCTTCTGCCTCTAAATCAATAAGTCAAACTCATGGGAGTGACAGTGAGCTAGGGAAGAGCTCCCGGGTGGTTAAAAGCCTGAAAGACTGGCAAGACTCAGGCACAGAGGCTGAACATACAGAACTGCATATCTGGCGCTGATGAACCCACAACTTCTGAGCCCACTTACACCATGCACAAGTGCATGTACACACATGCATGCATACACACAAACACAAATGCAGGTGTGTGTGACTGTAATGAAATTGCTGACAAACTTGGTGACTGTTTCCATCTGGACCTGCAGGTGAGATCAGGGTTTGTGGACCCAAACCCCAGGTACCCCCCTCAGGCAAATGCCACCTCCACCCTCAGGCTACAGGCCTGAGACAGGACACTGGCGGGCAACTGGACACACACCTTCAGACTCCCTCTACTGCCAAGGCCCAAGTCGGGTTCAGCTCCCTTTTCTCCTCACAGTTACACAGACATCCCCAGCACACAGCAGCCCTGGCTAAGCGCTCCCACCCTATCCTCCCATCCTTCCAGCCATGTCTCCTCCCCGCCTCACTCCCTACTGCCAATACCGGGCCAGCGCTAGCTGGACTGGCCGGCCTTCCTTCCAGCCTCCTTACCCAGCTCTGCTATCTCTCTTCACAGCAGCAGCTTCCCAGCCCTGGGGAGAGGTTCCTCTCTCCACCCCCCACACTTCCGCTAAGAAACCAGAGGCCTATCCTAGCATAAAACCCCAGCGCTGGCCCATCAGACGGCAAACTAATTATACAGCAAATTTTATTTGCTAGCCCTGCCCACACCGGTGGTGGCCCTCCAGCCTTTTGTTGGTTGTGGACATCAGTTTAATTGTTAAACAGTGACTCACTCTTGGCTGGTCCCCCCAGGAAACAAACTCTATCTCCATGGTGCCCTGAGCAGAGCTTCCTCATACTCAGGCTTCCCACTGCCTCTACCGGCCTCCAGGGTCCCCCACCCATAAACACTCAGTCCCTCCTCACCCAACCTTGGCCCCAAGTCACACCCAGGCCCTAAACTGGGGCTTCAGAGATGGCTCACTGACTTGATTTCAGGCCAACCCCTTTCTTCTGGTGTGACTCAACCTGAGAGCCAGGGGACTGGGAAGGGACCTCCACCGAAAGAGGAGGGTCAGGAGGCTGAGGCAGGAGGACTGCTACAAGTTCAAGGGCAGCCTGGGCTACACAGTGAGCTCAAGACCGGCACAAACTACACAGCAAGTCCCTGTCTCAAAAAAAAAAAAAGGGGGGGGGATGCTGGGGATTTAGCTCAGCGGCATAAGCGCCTGCCTTGCAAGCAGGCAGTCGTGAGTTCGATCCCCGGTTCTGATAAAAAGGAAAAAGACAAAAAAAAAAAAAAAAAAAAAAAAAAAAAGAATAAGAAAAAATGTGAGGGCGACGAAAGCAGGGCCTCACCCAGCTCCAAGCCAGGCCCAGAGGCCTGAGCGGGAAGTGGTTTTGACGTTGGCGGCCCTGCAGGGTGTATACAAAGGGAGGAGGTGCGGTTCCAGCGTCACCCGGCCGGCCAGCCAGCTGCCCAGGGGAGCCAGCTGTCTGGAAGCGGACTGCAAGACAGCTCCACCTTAAACCCACAGGCCTGTTCCTCCCTCCTCCACCTCCCCTCCCCAAACGTGGGAGGGCTGCACCGCTGGCAGCCAGGCTGGGAGCAGGGACTCGGGGTGAGGAGACATACTTTGAGGTTTGTTCACCAGCACACGGGAGTGGGCTCCCGGGGCAAATCCGCAAACCGGAGCCACCCGCTGGCCGGGACTCACACACAGCAGAAGCTGGGCTCTCCTTCTAGAAGCTGCCCCTCTCCCCCATGCGTTTCCAGGCAAGCTTCACGCGAACATGGCTGCTTTTGTTTACTTCCTCATTGGTATGCCAGCACCATGGATCATGTCGGCCACAGCAGCCGCACCAGGCCACTCATTACATAAACAGCAGCTAGAGGAGCGGACCGGGGTCAGGGCCTCGGTGACTTCCCCCAGGGCGCACGGAAACGACGCTGAAAAAGGCAGGAAAAGCGACAGCCCACTACCTCTGCGGAAGCTCCCTTCCCCACTTCCCTAAAACACTCCCGGAGGAACCCAGGGGGAACAGGGGCTGAAACAGACCCAGAAGCCATCTGAGCCCATTCTTCTTAGGACCTTACCCCAAACTTCCAGAGGAGAGTTAAGGGGGCCTCCAGCCTGACGTCCCGAGGGTCAGCCAGTCGGGATGAGTGTCCCCAGGGTCAGGGTCGGGGTTGGGGTCACGCGGGAGCGTGTGCGCACGAGGTGCGCGTGCGGGGTACTTGCCCGGATCTCGTTCCTCCGGATCTCCACGTCGCAGACCGAGTGTCCCTGATGCGCGCCGCTGTAGTAGCAGCAGTACTGGCACACGGCCACCTGCTCGGCCTCGCAGTGGTAGAGGCGGTAGGCGTTGTGCTGCGGGCAGCTCCAGGCCCGCACGTCGTCCGCCTCCACCAGGAGGTGCCCGCGGGCGGTGGAGGGCTGCTGCAGGTGCGTCTGCACGTGGGACTGGCAGCAGGGCGCCTCGCAGCGCAGGCAGACCTTCTGCGCGGGCAGCGGGGGCCCGCGGCGGCAGAAGACGCAGTGCAGCGCCGCCGGGGGCTTCTCCACGTGCAGTGCGTTGAACTTCTCCACGATGTTGGTGAGCTTCAAGTTCTTCTCCAGCCCGGGCTTCTGGTTGTAGGCCTGGTTGCACTCCGGGCAGCGCACGAGGCCGCTGTCCTTGGCCCACGCCTCGCCGATGCAGCCCCGGCAGAAGTTGTGCTTGCAGGGCAGCTGCACGGGCTCCACGAAGACGTGCAAGCAGATGGGGCAGATGAGCTCCTCCTCGAAGCAGTTCTTCCAGTTCTCCGCCATGACGAACGCGGACAGGGGCTCGGGCCGACCTCCCTCCGCGCGGGGCCAGACCCCACGGTGGGCCCACGGAGCCCCGCGCCCCGACCCGACAACTGCTCTGTCACCGTCGCCCCGCGCGGCTGCCCCGCTGCGGAGGGGATCCGGGTCTCGGCGCCGCCGGCTGTGTCGCCGCCTCCTCCTCCTCCTCTTCCTCCTCCTCGAGAGCGCCCCGCGGGCGGCGGGGTCCGAGTTCCATATAAGAGGCCGCCCCTGGCAGCGCAGCTAGGGCAGCGGCGGCGCGCGGCCTGCGCTCCGCCCGGCGGCTGCCATCAGGGCGCGCACCTCTTCTCGCTCGGCCGGCCGGGACCAGGCCGCTAGACACGGGCGCAGCGGGCGAGGAGACCCGGCGATCCCCGGGTCGCGGCCAGGGCGTCCCCCGACTGGCCGGCTGCGGGGAGCTCCGCGCGCTCCGTGGCGGTCATTCAGATGAAATTCCAGCCCCCGGCCCGAGACACAAGCCCGCCTCTGCCTTCCTCCTCCTTTCACAAATAGAAACGGAAGGGGGAGGGAGAGAGTGGAAAAAAGGCCACTAGGAAGGGAGGGTGAAGCCCTAGGGGCGCAAGGGCTAACCCCGTGCCGCCGCCTCTGAGCCCCCTGGGCCCCGCGCAGGGCGCCCCGCCGCTGAGAGACCCCGCGCTCCGTCCGCGGGCTGGGCGGGCGCCGCTGCTGTACCCTTAGCAGGGATTGATCCAACTGGAGAGGAATTCCTCCCAACTGCTAAGGCACAGAGGCTCGGCGCCGGCCCGCCCCTCCCCAAGCCCTCCCCCTTGGCCCCCTCCCCTCCCCCACTCTTTTCTTCTCGGCCGCGGCTCCGGCCCGGGAGGCTCCAGGCTGTGGCCGAGCCCGACCTGCGCGAGGCGGCGGCCGACTCAGCACTCAGCCATCTTGGGCGGCCGGCGGCGGTCCGGGGTCCGGGGTGCCCTACGTGGGCTGAGGGTCTTGCAACCTTCTCTTTTTCGCTTTTTTCGGTGAGATTTTTTTTTCCCCCTTTTCCCAAGAGGAGGGCTGGTGGCCTCCAGCAAATTAGGAGAGGGCAAGGAAAGAAAATGCCAAGTCTTGATTTCTCTCCACCTCTGCTCCACCCACCCCGGTCCTTTCCAAAAAATAAAAAAAGAAGAGAACTGGACGGAGTCGCAGAGGCGAGTGCCGCGACTCCGGCGGAGCATCCGGGGCGGGTCCGCGCGTCCGCCGCAGCTGGGGGGGCCGGCAGGGTCTCGGGGGCGCTGCGCCGCGCTCAAAGCCGCGTCCTCAGATGAGGAGAAAAGGAAGCGCCCTCCCAGCCCGAGCGCGCATCACGGCGCCTTCAGCCATCTTGCGCGTGTGTTGTGGTTATTTCGGAATAATCTGTTTAATAGAGCAGCTGCGTCTGCGGCTCCCGGCCCCGCATCCTGGGGTCCCCGCCCCCTTTTAATAATGGTCTTAATAATAAAGGTGACCGGCCGCCTCGGCTCCCAGGGTGCCGACTGTGCGCCCCCAGGAAGGCCGGGGTGCGGGGGCTGATGGCCTAGCCCGGCCCTCGGGGCCAGCAGCAGGGCTCACTGGACACAATGGGCTCGGGGCAGGGCGGAGGCCGGGGACAGAGGCTGCGAGAAGCGGGGCTCTGGACTGGGCGCGCGGAGGCGGGGTCGAACGCCTAATTTCAAGGCCGGTTCCGCTACTCGGGCAGGGGCGGAGGGACGAGAGGGGGATGGGAGGAGGAAGCGGCCGTCAGCGCCTTCAATGCGCGCCCGCGGGCTCGGCCCACCCGGCCCCGGAATGGACAGGGGCGGGGCGGGGCGCGCTGTCCGGAAGTACCGTTCGGGCGGCCGGCTCGAGGCTCCTCCCCCTTCCCTGCCAGGAGCCGGGCAGCCAGTGCTATTAGTCCCCCGCGCGGCTCCGCCCCTTTAGGGCGGGGCAGTCCCGAGAGCGTCACGTGACGGACACTAATTTCAGTACCTTAAATGCCGGCTGGGGTTCCGCGCCTCTTGAGAGAGGCGTGCTGCCCCTTGGTAGCGGGACCGGTTCCTGGGCCTCTCCTCTCCATTTTCGGAGAGGCAAAGGCGGGTTTGTCAGTCTGTCTGCTCACCGTCCCAACAATTTCCGTGTCCTCAAGCGTTTCTTTGAATTTGTAACTTGTAAAACTACCCATGAAAATAGGGGTGACCCTCCCCCCTATTAATAATGAGACTGAGGCGTAGAGAACTGAGTCCATTCATTTATAAATACACAGCATAACAAAAGACTTCATGTGCCTGGCATTTTTCTAGGCCCTGGGGAAAATCCCTGTTAAAAAAAAAAAAACAACGCAGGGCCTTGCACGTGCCAGGCAATTCTCTTGCGGAGCAACATCCCTGACCCACGTTAAGCACATTTAAAAATATATGTACAGGCTGGGAGTTTAGCTCAGTGGCATAAGTCCCTGCTTGGCAATCGCAACGTACACCCCCAAATATATATATATATAAAATGTCTGGGGTAAGAGCAGAGGCACACATACAGCTGCACTGAGAAGGTGATGTGTGAGCAGAGACTAAATGTCCAAAAAGCGCCAGACAAGTGGTGGCCTGAAGAGTGCCTCTGGCTAACGGTGGGTATGTTCCAGGCAGAGGACAGCTGCAGAGAGAAACCCGGATAGAGAGCATTTGAACACAGACTGCTCCTGGGCACCTGTTAGATTTGCTGTACATTTTGGAAGTGGAACCAATGGGATTTGCTAATGGACTAGATTCAGCATAGATGGGAATCCATGCAATGATAATAGAGGACTAGGAATGGAGTCAAGATTATGTATCATGTCTTTCTAAGCTTCGATCATGTATATGTATATATTCTATATGTGTATCCCAAAATATTTTTAATTTTTCCTTTGTTTTGCTTGCAGTACTAGAAATGAAATCCAGGGCCTTTCACATGAGCCAAGCGCTCTACTACTAAGCTGTACCCTAGCACCCCTTTTTTCTACAATGCTGGAGATTGAACACAGAGCCTTTGCACTGTTATATCCCAAGCCCCTTTGTAATTATTGTTATTATTACTTTTGAGACAAGGTCTCATTCAGTAGTCTTAGCCTAGAACTAGTCTGAAGTAACAGTCCTCCAGTTTTAGGATCCCAAGTGCTAGGAGTCACTTGGGTCCCAGACCTATTTATTTATTTATTTATTTATTTATTTATTTATTTATTGGTGGGATGGGGAATGGAATCCTGGGCCTCACACCCTACTACTGAGTTATAGTCCCTTGCACACCTATTTTTATTTGTACGGGTATCAAGCTCATGACCTCGTGCTTGCTAGGCAAGCCTGTGCCGCTGAGCTATATCCTCAAACCCTAAAATGGCATGAACCTTGTTTTGTTTTTGTTTTTGTTTTAATTTCCCTCCACACCCTGTTTTTGGTTTTTTTTGGTACCAAGAATCAAACTCACAACCTCATGCTTGCCAGGTAGGCGCTGTACCTCTGAGCTATATATCTCTGGCCCTATTTTTTTTAATTCTTAATAGTGCACCTATTTTTTTAATTCTTTGTCTTAATTGATATGTGTGTACGCACACACACAAAATAGTTGGACAAAGATATGGGGTTTAGTGTGATAATACATTATATAACATGTAATGAACAAAATGTTTTAAAATGATTCCTAGGTATCTGGGCGTAGTAACACACACCTATACTCCCAGTACCTGGGAGGCTGAGGCAAGAAGATTGCCCTTTGAGGTCAGCCTGGACTATACAGTGAGTTTAAAACCAGCCTGAACTATATATAGACTCTGTCCCAAAACAAACAAACAAACAATAAGATCCCTAGGACTTAGGCACCAGCATGAAGCTGGATAGTAGAGCCATTTCCTAAGAAGGGGAAAATTGAGGAGGATTAAGTTTTGGTAGAGGGGGCTGGGGATTTAGCTCAGCGGCATAAGCACCTGCCTTGCAAGCAGGCAGTCATGAGTTCGATCCCTGGTACCGATAAAAAGGAAAAAGACACACACACACACACAAAAGTTTTGGTAGAGGGGCTTTCTAGGTGAGGTCGAGTTGGCTCAGCTGTCCCAATGAAAATGTTGAAAGGCAGCTGTGTGTGCAGCCTTCATGGAGAGATGTGACCTGAGATGGAAATTTCAGGACATCAGAGATGACTGTAAATGATAAACTGAGATTCAGATCCAATTGTTTGATTGTTTTGTTTGCTTCTTTTTTTGAGACAGAGTCTTGCTATGTAGTTCAGGCTGGCCTTGAACTCACTATGTAGCCCTGGTTGGCCTTGAACTCCCCTTCCAAGTGCGGGATTACAGGTGTGTGCCTCCACGCCCAGCTTTCAGTGGGGTTTGGACTCTGGGTCCCCGACCCTTGAGGAGACAGCCTGTGCCTTTAGTACTCTGCATTCCTCGCAAGAGTGGTCATGTGCTGGATAAATGAACTTAGGAATAAGGGAATGCAAGTCTGAGTGAAGGAGCAAGAAGGAGGTGGCTTCCAAGCTTTAAGCCTCAGTGCTGTGCTCTAAAGATGATACAAAGAAATGGTCTAGGCCAAATGTGGTAGCATACCCCTCTCCACTAGGGAGGCTGAGGCAGGAGGATTGCACCTTCAAGTCCGGTCTGGGCAATTATAACAACAACAACAAAAAAAGCTGGTGATGCAGCTCAGTGGTAGAGTTCTTGCCTGGCATGCACAAGGCCCTGGGTTCATGCTCAGTACAGAAAAGAAAGAAAGAAGAAGAGTTCAATTCAGACTCGACATCACATGCCTTAACCCCTGCACTTGGAAGACTGAGGCAGGAAGATGGCTGCAAGTTCAAGGCCAGCCTGGGTTACACTGAGTTCAAGCACAGCCTGAACTGCATAGTGAATCCCTCCTTCAGAAAACCCAAATGAAATGACAACAAAAACAAAGGAAAAAAGAGGTTTAACTTGGAGAAGTTGGTGATGGGAGGGCCTTTTTCTGGCCACCCCACCAGTGACCTACAGGATAATCCATCTCACTGTTCTCACCCAATTGGTTTTCATATTTTTACACTTTCCACACAGCACTTTCCAGCGCTGCAGTGTGGATAGTCCTGAGCAGGATCACACCCTCCTGTCCCTAATCTTACTTGTTCCCAGGCCGCTCTGGGACTCTGAGCCTTTATTATTCTGTTGGCCAGTGGCTCCCCAGCCACATCGATCCCGACTGCAGGGCCATGGCTTATCATGGCCCTCCCAGGCACCTTGGGTCCTGTGTATTGGAAAGGGTTATCTTCTCCCATCTCAGCCCACTTCACTCCTTACTGCACATCTTGGTAGGTGAACCCACCAACCACTCAGTTGTTAACAACCAAGGAACAGCAAAACAACCAAATACTGCTCTGCCTTGCTCTGGACATGTTCACCAGGTTCACCAGGTTCAGAGCTTGCTTTCAAGTCTCCCAGCTCACCCCCTTGCATACTAACTAGTTGCTTACTTAATATCTTCATTTGGAGAGATCATGTAACAAACACAGCAACTCAGCATGTCCAGAATATACTGTTTGTTCCCTCCTAACTCCTGTTCCTGCTGCCTTCTGCTTTACAACGAACATCTTACAGCCAGTCCTTCCCCACATCCTATGCCACCCTCCCCCCATCAAATCCAGGGTCTTGAACATGCTAGGCAAGTGTGCTATCCTGAGCATCTCCTAGTGATTGATGACTTTTTTTTTTTTTGGTGCTGGAGATAGAGCTCATGACCTCGCATTTGCCATGTAGGCACTTATATCGCTGAGCTAAACTCCCAGCCCCCTTAATGACTGTTTTAAATCCGTACCGGGGCTTGAACTCATGACTGCATGCTTGCAAGGCAGGTGCTTATGCCACTGAGCTAAATCCCTAGCCCCTTGACGACTTAACATTTCCATTACTGGCTTATTCCAGTAGGTCTTAACTGGTTTCCCTCCTTTTGCCCTTTACTTTCTGGAGGAGGTTCTCAACATGGTCATCTTAAAAATATGTCAGCACCTACTCATGGTAGCTTAGGCCTAAAGTCCCAGCTACTCAGGCTAAAGTGTGAGCATTGCTTGTGTGTTTTTTTTTTTTTTTTTTTGCTTGCGTGGTTTTTGAGACCAGCCTGGGTAACATAGTGAGACAACATCTCAAAAATAAATGAACAGGTAAGTAACATGAGTCCAATCATGTCACTCTTTTGTTCAAAATCTTCTAATGGTAGCTGGATATGAAGGCAAAAGCCTATAATCCTAGCATTTGGCAGGCAGAGGCAGGAGGATTACCTGTTGGAGGCCAGCCTGGGCTACCTAGTAAGACCCTGCCTCAAAGAGAAAACAAAACCTTCCCAGAATAAAAGCTGAAATTTCCAAGAACCTCCAGGGTCTGCACAGCCTGGTCTCTAACTGCCAGGTTTCATTCCCCTTTGATTCTGATTCCAATTCCTGAGCCAGCCACGCCACCCTGGCTTCTCTGTTGTTCCTCTGGCACACCCACTGAGACCACTGGGATCTTCGTTTCTTTTCTTTTCTTTTCTTTCTTTGGTACCAGGGATTGAACTCACAACCTTGAGCTTGCCAGGCAGGGGCTTGTGCCACTGAGCTGTACCCCAAGCCCTCTACTATAGGCTTTGTAGTTGCTCTTCACTGTGCCCACACACCTTCCTGTAATGGAGAGCCTTTCTTTAAATGTCACCCAGGCTGCAGGCCTTCCCTGACCAAGTTAGCTGCTGTCCTGTGCTGCCTTCCCTGCTTCCCCCTCCAGTATGTATTCCAGGTATATTGGGTTATACAAAATATGTGCTTATGTTAACAAGTATGTACATGTATGTACACTTATAGAAATACCCTGTGTTGGGGCTGGGGATTTAGCTCAGCGGCATAAGTGCCTGCCTTGCAAGCAGGCAGTCGTGAGTTCGATCCCTGGTACCGGTAAAAATGAAAAAGACCAAAAAAAAACCAACCCTGTGTAAAATGCTTTGTGTATAAAATATAAAAAATAATAACAATAATAAAGCTGCCTGTTGCTCATCCTGAAACATAAGCTCTAGGGATGGAGGGATTGTCATTGCTGCTGCACCCCAGGTGCAGGCATGGGGCCTAGCACAGCAGATGGCCAATGAGTATCTGGTGACCCCATCCAGACCATTTCTGGTTGATCCAGGCTGGACCGGTCACCTCGCCTCCATTTCCCTTCCAAAATGTTCTCCAAGGCCAGGCGTGGTGACACCTGTAATCCCAGAAGCCAGGAGGCTAAGGCAGGAGGATCACTGTCAATTTGAGGCCAGCCTGAACTGCATAATGAGATGGTGTCTCAAAAAAAACAACAAACAAACAAAAACAAAGGATGGAGAATGAAGCCAGATGGGTGGTCACAGATGTTACCGCCTACAACACTCTGAGGCACAGACTTGCTGCAGGTGAAGGCCGCAGAGGAATGGGTCAGTTAGCTTGGGGTCAGTTAGTGGAGTTGGGGCAGGACAGAAGTGCTCTCCTGCCTTTCTCCTTCTGGGCTCTCACTGTCTCTGTTCCTTGTGCCTTGGCTTCCTGCACATGAGCCTCTCCAGGCATGGCCTGTGTCTGTCTCTGGGAGAGGAGGGTCCCTAGTGTATCTGTCTCTGGGAGAGGAGGGTCCCTAGTGTATCTGTCTCTGGGAGAGAAGGGTCCCTGAGTGATGGGGGGCCTGGGATATAGCTCAGTGGCACAGTGCCTGCCCAGCAACCACAAGGTCATGAGCTTGATCCCTGGTACAAAAACAAACAAATAGGGATGGGGATTTAGCTTAGCAGCATAAGTGCCTGCCTTGCAAGTGTGTGGTTGTGAGTTCAATCCCTGGTACCGATAAAAAAGAAAAAGACCAAAAAACAAAAACAAAAAAACACAGGTGAGTGTTTTCCAGTCCTTATGTTCCCAGAGCCCAGTGGGCCTCATGGTAGTGGGGTGGGGCACAGGCTGGAGGTTGGGGGCACTGGAGAAGCAGGGAGTGGGCTCTCAGTTCCTGGAAGGCTGCTGCTCAGGGCCTCACCCCACAAACCATGCTCCCACACACCAGGGACCCCCACCAGCCGTCAGCTGCCCCTTTCCCATTCTGCTCTCCTAAAGCCCCTGCACTGGGCATGCCCCCTCCAGGCCACATCCAGCCTTGTCCTGCCCTGCCCTGCCTTGCAGTCTGGGGACACAGCTCTCCCTCCTCCCAGCCCACAAGTTACCCTTCACCACGGCATCCCTACCTCCCTCTCTTGCCTGCAGCTGCCCCAGTGCCTGGCAGGCTGGGCTGAGTCACTTCCAGCTCGCTCTTTCCTCGTAGCTATGGCAGTTTGGCAAACTGTTTAGCCCCAACCCCTGAAGTGAGGCCTTTCTGGGGGAGATATTACAGCATGCATGGCAGATTTCTCCCCTCCTTAAATCTAGGGATGAACTCTCTGCTCTAGAGACCTGGTTGAGGCCAGGAATCCCTTTTTCTGGAAACCACCCTAACCTGGTACTGCCTCCCAGAGCCACCCAAGCACAGGACCTTGCTGTTCTGCATTCTCCAGGGCTCTCTGGTCCCGACTCTGGGTCTTTAAAGGCCAGAGTCAGAATAGGGTACACCTGTGTTATGGATTAAACCCTAGAGGTCAACTAAACACCAGCTGAATTAGATCAGCATGGTGCTAAGTGTAGATGGCCCCACCTGAGGAAAGTTGCCAGCATAAAGGGAGACATGGAGAGGAAGAGTTGTGATGTTGTGGGTTCTCCTAAGTGTTGCTGTTTGAGCTGTCAGTTCTCCTGGAGGAGCTCATCATGACTAGAGCTTCCCCAGTATGAGTTCAACCATTATCATCAGAGGGACTCAGGACCTTGTTGGTGAGAGTGGCTGTTCACTTTGGGGGAGCTCTGGTCCTCACTGTGGGAGACAACTCCAGTGACTCCCCTTGAATGCAAAACAATTACTGCAACTTTAATTATTTGGAGACTTATTTCCTTATACTGATATGTAGAGAGCTGGCTATGGTGTTTCCTTCTCTCTTCATTTGGCTTTAAGCATTGCAAATAAGGCTAGGGGGGTGCTGATATGTAATCTCTAAAGCCAACAGACGATCCTGTCTCCTCGAATAGTTTTCTCTGTGTAAAGGATATGAGCAAGGAGGGATGTTAGAGCTAACAGCGTTAGGAATGTCAACTGGGTGGGAGCCCCCCAAAAAAGAGGCTATGACTCCCCAGGGCACAAGAGTTTGCATATCAGAACCAAAGCCACAACCTCCCAAAACAATTCAGTTGCTACCTTAGATTATGTGAATGGATCCCTCTGCATATCTTTACCTCTTTAATTTACAGAGGTGCCTTTCTCCCCACCTGGCCAGTCAGCTCAAGTTACTCAGGTAAATCCCAGCATCCTCACTGTCACTCATCCCCCCAGCCACCGCCCTTCTTCACAAAATAATAAATTCTGGGAGAGGCCTAGGATCAGGGCCTTTATCCACACATCCTCATGGGGATTAGATTTAGGACCCCTTGGCTATCCTTAGAACATCGCTTCCTGGCTCTGGAGGGGAAAATGTATGCTGTACAATCTCCAGAAGAAACTCATCATACTGGCTTCCTGGCATGTACTTGACTGTTATTGTCAGAGGAGCTCAGGACCTCTATGTTGCTGAGGATGGCTGTAGTCCTTTTTAGGGCAGCCCTAGTTCTTATTTTGTGTGTGTCTTCTTGGCTCTAGTGTAGAACCCTCCACCTACCAGCACAGGTCCTTCACCCCAGTGGCATGGACTTTCTAGCTTCCACCGCTGACCTTTGGGCTTTCCCAGCTTCCAGTGCTGAACGTTGAGCCTTCCTAGTGCAGATTCGTAAAACAGACTGGCGTGAGTCTTTGTCATGGGCTCTAGACCTGCAGTTAGACTCCTGGGAGGCATTGTCATGAGCTCTGGATCTTCATCTGGACTACACAGAACATTGCTGTGGGATCCAGGCCCTTGGCTGAATATTCCGAGTTTTTAGTGTTGTGGACAGATTTCCTTCACTTTCTTGTATTTAACTCTGGATGACCATCATGAAATAGTATTATAAATTCTGTGTCCTGATTGTAATGGTTCTCCTTGCAACCCCTCACAACAACAGACTGGAACCCAAGCACTCAGGAGGCTGAAGCATGAGGATCCTGAGTTTGAGGCCAGTCTGGGCTATATAATGAGTTCAAGCCAGCCTGAATAGTGAGACTGTCTCAAGGAGGGCCAAATAAGCCCCTCAGCCCCAGTCTCCAGGCAGCAAAGGTGAGAGGCATGGCCTGGGCAACCCTGAGGTTGTGGGCCTGTTCTGGCCACCAGTGACTGAGGCCCAGAAGGGCCTACCCTGTTCCAGGGCTGGCCATGGCCAGAGTTCAGTAGGGGGTCACAGGAGAAGGCCCCTGGCTTCTCGCAGGGCTCCTATGGGCAAAGAGGTCTCACAGAGGTTGGGGAGGTGTACAGACCCTCTGTGTGGGCTGAGGACCCTTCTTCCAGCCTTGTGATGTTCCAGGAGCTCTGTCGTCAGCTCCAGCCTCATGGGAGGATCAGAAAAGGCCCTGTCACTCTCCAGGAGAGAGAACCAGGCCCAGCAGGATGGGAAAGAATGTGTGCGGGCCCCACAGGTGGTCCCAAAGGTCTAGGAAGTCTGTCTGGAGGCAGAAGCCCTGCACCTGCCTCCAGGCCCGGGGCTGTTGCCTCCTGCGCCCCCCAGCACTGGGCTTTGGTGAGGCAGGGCCACTGGGAAGGAGGACCCACCGCCCTGCCTCCTCACCAGCCCAGGCAGAGGGGCTGCAGGAAGGGCCCGCAGGCCTCAGTCACTAGTGGGGCAGTGGGCACCCCTCCTCCCTGGTCCTAGGAGGGAGGGAATGGCTGGCTGAAAGAGGACTCCCAAACTGGAGATGAGAAAGGGCCACTTTAATCACCTCGAGGGTTTGGGAGGAGTGGGTTAAGAGAACTGAAGCAGTAGAGGGTCTTTACCAGCCACCCATTCTCCTGGCCTGTGACCCTCGCTCCTCCTCCACTGACTCAGAAGAGTGAAGGTCCCTGCAGTCATTTCTGCATGACTGGAGTCACCAGCTATGTGACCCCACAGCCCAACACCCCCTATACTCTCAACAACACTGTGTGGGCCTCTCTGCCTGCCTTCTCCTAAGCAGCTGTTCCCCTACTCCAGGCAGCCAGAAAGCAGCACACGACCCAGGTACTTCTGCAAATACATTTAATGTACTTCGATTACATCACAGGAGAGGGGCAGCAGAATGACATCTAAGTGAGTCACTCAAAAAGACTTACAAAAGTCCCAGGCTGGCTGAAGCCACAGGAACCGAGTCGCCACTGACATAAAAAACTAATAGAAAATTTTACAAGTCTGCTCACTGTAGCATTTAGGTACTGGTACAAAAGGAGGGGGTCTTCCTACGGGGCTCCTGACTTGTAACAGGGGCCCAGGCCCCTGACCTGGCATGGAGGTCCTGGAAGCCAGAGGGAAGACCAGATTAAAAATAGTCCTGGGAATTCTCCGCCCCATAGGGGCCCCGACCTTCAGGTTTCCTCCTGTTCTCAATTGCAAAACCTCGTGCCAAGCCCTCAGGTCTGGTTTGCAGAATGCTCCTGTTCCTGCTCGGGCCCCTGCCCCTGCCCCTTTGCATTAGGAAGGGAAGATGGGCAGAGAACCAGCAGACCTGGACTTGCAGGGGCCTCCCAGCCCTTCAGAGCAGTGGCTGGGGTCACCATCCTCTCATAGTCCATATTGGAGTTGGTCACCCAGAAGTCTACTTTAGAGACTGGGTACACAGCAGGCAGGAAAAAGCCCCTTCTCAGAGGCTTTAGCATGAGTCTGGAGTGATGGAAGAAGACTGCGGAGGTCTCCAGAAAGCTGTGGAAGGGCAGGCAGGGAGGCTCCTGACTGCCTCACCTATGTGAGGTCTAGGGCTTCCACTGAGCTGCCAGGAACCATGCAAGGGACAATCTGGGTCCTTTGGGGCCCTTTCACAAGCCTACAGCTCCATGGAGCACCCTCCTGAGAAACCTCTGAAGGCAGCCAGAGTCTGAGGGAGAGGAGCTGAGGGCCTGCTGCTCCCGAGCTGGGAGAATGACAGGGACCTGGTCCCTGCAGGGTCTTGGATGTGCACCAGGTTCCTAGCAAGGTGACGGACAGGAAGGAGTCCCAGACTTTCTGGGCTCTACCTTTCTGTGCTTATCTGCTTCTTCCATCGTCCCCTGCTCTTTAGCCGAGGGCTACTATGCTAATGGTGCCAACAACCCTCTAGGCCTGGTGCAAACTGTTTACTGGATGCCTCATGGGCTGATGAAATTTTACCCTCCCCCAAGCCAGGCACCTGCAGGTAGGGCAACATGCAGTGGGAAGCCGTAGGCAGGGACCCAGGAAGGAGGCATCTACAGAGAAGCTGGTCAGGGTGATAAGGAATGGGGACAGGGTGATGCACCTCTCTGCCTGAGCAATGTCAGAAGAGTGTTAAACAAAGACAGGGTTGCCATGTGGGCAAGGGCCAGTAAGCAGGCTCCTGGGAAAGTCCTTGCTGTCAGGTCCAGAGAAGTCTGGATCTCCGCTGGCAGGACGTGAGCAGCATCCCCACATGTCCCCAGCTGAGCCACCCTGAAGCACTGAGTGTGACAGAGTTCACAGACAGCCCTGGGGTGTGTAGGCAGGGCCTGATTTCATGGGCCTCGGAGGCCGGATCCTGCTCCTCAGAGAGCCTGGCCAGGGCCCTCATGGGCCTTCGGCTGTATCTCTCTTTGAAGAGGACCTGTACTTTATGGGTGTACCTGGTGGTGCCTGAGTATGGCGGAGGCAGGCCAGGGTAGGAGGAACCCTGCTTTGTCCCTGACAAAATCACTTTGCCTGGGACAGGCTGAAAGGTCATCTTGAAGTAGCAGTCCCTCGAGGAAGGGGTGACTGGGAAAGACAGGGGCTTGCTGGTCCCAGGTCATGAGGAGGAACCTCCAAACCAGGGGCTGAAGAGAGGCGGGCTTCTGGAAGGCAGACTGTGGGCTACAAGCACTGGGGAGAGGGACCAAGGACAGTAAGAAGCCAGGATGTAGGATAGGAACAGGGATGAAAGATGAGAAAAGAATGGAAGGAAGGAGGGAGGCAGAGAGCAGTGTCAGCAAAATCAAAGTGAAAGAGATCTGGAGAGGGTGATTTTTCAGTTTTTAATCAGCCAGAGTCCTGCATCCTGGGAAGCCCAAGGAACGAGGGGAAAAAAAAGGGTCATCAAAGAAATTCAGGTCCAGATCCTGAGTAACAAGTGGGGGTGGTCTAGGGGTGGCTTTGGGAGGCCTGCCTGGGTGGAGAAGGCCTGGAAGATGAGGCTGTGGCCACCAAACCCCTGAGCCCCTAAGTTCCCTGGGACAGCAGCTGCCCCTCTTCGTGGCCCAGCTGAATCGACACAGGGCTGTGCAGAGAGCATATCTCCAACCTCCCAGGCACCGGCTCCAGGCAGCAGCTCTGCCAGGGCTTGGGCTGGCAGGCAGGAAGCAGGCACTCTGCTCCGGTGTGCTGTGTGCAGAGACAGGGTCCAGGTCCCTATCTGGGAGAGTGAGAAAGTTCATCTGGGAGTAAAGTTCAGTCTAAAAAAAATTATATACATGGCTTCTGGACATCTTTGCTGAGCAATAAAATACCATCAGGTTTCTACAAAATAAAATAAGGAAGAAAACCAAACATGATCGGAGCAATTGCCCTGTGGCGGAAGCAGCCTGCCTAGCAGAGGCTTGCCTGAGTCACACTGTACCAGGCTGTGCAGCAGGGATGTGGGGACCAAGGCCATCTCCACTGTGGGGACAGCCAGGGTCCAGAATCTGACCTCAAGCCAGAACCTGTGGCAGTGGCCAGGAGGAGGGTCTCACATGCCTGCTCACTGGCTTGGCAGAAGGGCCCAGTCTGGCAGCTCCGGCCGGGGCAGGAAGGAAGGTGGGCAAGTGGCCTGCATCTGACATCCACTGGGCTGCGGGTTTGTTGGCCGTTCAGTCATCCTCACACTTGTCCTTTTATTGTGGGGGGGTCTTTCTTTTGCAGCTGTTACACCTGAAGTCACGGGAACTCCTGGGCTCCCCTTGGCCCCTGCAGGGCCCAGCCCAGGCTAGTGCAGTGGACTGTCGAACACCACATCAGGGAGGATGGAGACTTTGAGCTTCTTCTCGGGCCAGCTGTACTCTTTGGGAAGTTTGCACTATGGGGAGCAAGCACAGACGTGGTGCACACATGGTTAGCAGACTCACTGCCTTCGTCCCAGAACTGCTTAGGCAGGCAGGGCGCCGGCACAGGCCCTGCCCTGAAGTCTGGGTGAGACAGGCCACTGGATGCCAGCTTCACTCAGGAAGGCCCGTCACGGGTCCCCTTGCTGCTGTTCTCTCCTTGCCTTGCCAATCGCTAACCTGGTCAAGAAGTGTGCGTTCAGCTCTTTCTGGACCACGCTGACCTCCCTCCCGCTCACTTCCTTGGTTCTGCCTCTGACCACAAGCATGTAAGGAATCTGCTCCCTGAGGCCCTGGGGCTGGAGGATGGGGGGCCTGTAGGGTGCAGATGCTGTGGGGAAGTGGCTTGAGGTCTGTCACTGCCATGACCTCTCTTTTCTTTATGGCCTCTCTTTCTAAGGCCAATGCAGGAGAGGCCCAAACCTGTGCTCTGTGTGTTTCGCTGAAAGTTGGCTTCAAAGTCAGACACATTATGGCTGTGGCAGAGGCAGAGGAGAAGGCCATGTGTGGCTTGCAAGTGGGGCGGGCTCTGACAGAGCAAGTTCTCCTGCCTGCTCACTGCTCGTGTTGTGGTGAGTGCAGAGCGAGCCTTGCCGGTCCAGCACAACCCAAGGCCCTTTGCCCCCAGTAGCACCACCCGGCTTCCAGCCTGGTTTCTCCCACTCTGGGGATTTCTGGGGCGGGTGCGGGAGAGCTGACACTTGTTCCCTCTGGATTCTAAGACCCTGCATTTAGTTTGGCACATTGGCTGGTCCCTAAGTGCTTGTGGATGTGGACTGGGGCGGGAGCTTGGAAACTGGGTCTGTTTTATTTTACTTATTTTTTGCAAGGTTGGGGGTCAAACTCAAGGCCTCCTGCACACCAGGCCAGGGCTCTGTCACTGAGCTACACTCCAGCCCAGATCTGTCTGGGCCTAGGCTCTGGGAGCTGGGCCTGATGTCTGTTTCCTGATGCTCTTTGGCCTCCCCCTGAGGAGGTACTCTCCGTGCCAGGTCAAAGTGGAGAGGGGGGTGGGGTGCAGGGATGACTCTGGACAGGAAGCAAAACAACAACAACAACAACAACAACAACAACAACACCCAACTCATTTTCAGTGGCCTACTTTCCTAAGCTCTCCTGGCTCCTGTCCTTGCTGGGACTGTCTCCTGCCACCCCCTCAACAACCAAGCTCCCAGCAGCAGCCTGGGGCAGGGCCACCCCAGCATGACAAGGACTCTCCAGAAGTACTTCAGGGCAGCTGACTCTGGTCTGAGTGAATGGACACCTCGGCTGCACAGCCTGGGGACTGACTTGGGGGGCTGCTGGGCCTGCATGGAGGATACACTGGTGATTTTGGAGTGTAGGGTGAATTAACTCATCAAGCTGCACCCCAGAAGGCAGCGGGTACACTGGGTTACTGGGGTGCCTGCTCTGAAGGGCCCTTGGCCTGGACAGCCCAATCTGAGTGCTCTGGGCCTCTGTGTCCTGCCTGAGGGAGGCCTAGGTGGGGAAGGAGCTCTCCCTCAAGCATGTTTCCCAGCATGGAAAAGGTCTGCCCCTACCCCAGAAGAGAGGGCCAGAAGAGCTTCTCCAGAGGCCTGGGCAGCTTGGCTAATGCTCCACTAACCCATCAGGCAGGCATGGAGACCAGGAAGGCTCAGATCCCAATGGGGTGCTGGTTAGGAGGAGGCGGGGGAGGCGAAGGGACTTTCCGGGATGAGGTAAGTCCCCACAAATGGGTGCTGGGAACAAGGAAGAAAAACAAAGGGGATTATGGACTCTACTCCTGTGCCCAAGAGCAGCAGCCAAGGGAAGGCAGAACCTCACCTGGCCTGCCAGCTCCTCAGGCCCAAAACCAGCCAGAAAGAGGTAACTGAAGGGAGAGTTCACGGCTGGAGAAGGAAGGAAAGGAGAGGCTCCTGGGTGGCCGGGGCCCTTGCTGCCCACCAGAAGTCCCCATGGAATGTTCTCTGGCAGCAGACATGGGCTTTCTGTTCAGAACCTGCCAGGGAACAGCAGGGGCTGGGGAGAACTTGTACTGGTCTGAATGCCCTGGCTGCCTCTTCAGTGAGGTTCTCAGGAGCCGGCATGTCAGACAGTTTGCTGGTGTCCCAGTGACAGAGTAGAGCAGGGGACACGGAGGAAAAACCAAGCAGGTCCCAGAGGCCCCACTGCAGCCTCTCCCCACACCTCAGGCAGCAGCTGAGATGTGGACACGTGTGTGCAGGCATGAGGACCGGCCCCCCAGCACAGAGAAATCAAACAGGCTTACTTCCTCTGGAGAAGTCAAATCTTCTAAGTCTTCCAACATTTTCTCTACAAACTCTTCGGTCAACAGAATCTAGAAAGAAGGCATAGAGGAGGCCATTATTATTATTACTGTTATTATTTTAATTGGATGGTCTTTTTACCAACTGCCAAGCTATGAGTCTTCTGGCCTTGGAGGAGGCCAAGCCCGCTGATCAGTCCCAGGGACAGAGGCCTGCTCCCTACTGCATTCTCCCAGTGGCTCTCTGCTGCTGCCTGACATTGCCAGAGTGGGGCAGAGGAGGAAGGGGGCAGAGGGCAGAGGCCATGGGGATGGCTGGAAGGTGGGTAGTGCTGGGCCCCAAAAGGGAGATGGTAATTGGTGGGGAGAAACAAACACAGATCTTTGTCTGCTCAGGCCTCTTGCCTCAGGCAGGCCAGCAGCAAAGCCAAGGGCAGAGAGGAGCCACTGTCATGTCCTCCTTGCCCCTTTATAATTGCAGGCTGCACTCCTCCCCTGAACTTGGCAGACGAAAGGTATCTGTCTACCTTTGGAATATAAGCCCTGTCTCGTGTCTGGAAATGCCCCGGAAGATACATCCCAGAATATCTGAGCTGGAGAGTTTGGAGACTGTGGACCAATCTCTCATTTCTGCAGATGGCATGGGGAATCCAACTTCTTTCTCCACCCACAGATCCACATGTTCTCAGCCTGGCTCCTGCGCCTTACCCTGCTGGCCCATTCAGGCTCTGGGCAGTTCTTTTGTTTCATTTTGTTTTTTGAGACAGGCCTATGCAGCCCAGTTTGGCCTTGAACTTGTGGTCCTTCTGCCTCAGCCTCGCAAGACCTGGGACTACAGACCTAAGATACCACCATACCCTCTGCTACTGAGCTCTTCAAGACTTTGAGATGCCCCCTAGGCTCATTCCAGCTTTCCTTCTGCTGCTTTAGTCTGACACTTGTCACCCCATGCTGTGCTGGCACAAACACCATACCCAATGTCCTGACCCGGTGGGAATGATGTCCATTGGGCTTTTTAACAGGCCTACCTCAAGCACTGTTCTGCTCAGGCTGATCTGTTGGCCAGGCCAGGTTCACCTTATGCCTGGACCTCTTCAAGCCCTGGTCCAGAGTATCTTTTATCTTCCACATCTGGAACCCTCTTTCTGTCCTCTGTCCTGCTTGCAGGGCCTCCTCAGCTTCCCCACGCTGTGGCTCCCCCGCCCGCCGGCACATCTTGGGTCAGTGGGGTGGGGAGACCAAAGAGAGGAGCTTCTCTGTGTGAGACTCTCTGGAGAAGGATGGGGATGGGAAGATGCCATCAGGTTTCCCTGGGCAATGGTCTACTCTGATAACAAGTTTCCACAGTGTCAGGTGGGCTGAAGTGGCAGAGAAAGGAAGATGAGTGAAGTGATTGTCATGAGGGGCCTTGAGGGACAGGGTGGCCCTCAAAGGAAGGAAGCTGATGGGGTGGGGGTGACCAATGAGAAAACTACCCTCACCTGAGCAGAAAAATCACCATCCTACCCAGGGCCCTTTCAGTCTCCATACAGAAAACAGAGGCACAGAGAGGTCACAGCTCATTGCTGTGGGCTGAGACAAAGTTATATTCCAGTCCCATCTGGGCTGGACTCGGTGTCTTAAATGCTTCTTCCGAGCCCTGACTTCTTCCGAACTCTTACTCCAGGACAAGCACTCCTGTGCTCATGCCAGCTGCTCCTTTCCCAGGGGACCAGCCCCTGCCTTGGCTGACAGCACCTCTGCCTGCTCACCAAAGGTTATGTTCCAGGAGTTCAGGCCCCAAGTGGAGACAGGAGCAAGCTTTAGAGTCAGGGGACACAGCCAGCGTAGGAGAGTGCCCACCACAGGTATCCTCTCTTCAGTCTTCCTCCAAGCCTTCCTGGATGACACCTTGGCCAGTCCCACACAGCCCCCCAATGGCCTATGCCCTGCCCCTCTAACTTGTGTATCTCAAAGGTAAGGCCTCGCCCCCCCTCAAGGCCAGAGGCTCTCCATGTCACCAGCCCACCTGACTACTAGAAAGTTACACCTATATTTCTGGCATTTCCAGGGCTTGTTGCCATCCCTGCAAACATTAGAACACACACAAACAGGGGCTGGGGATTTAGCTCAGTGGCATAAGTGCCTGCCTTGCAAGTGTGTGGACGAGAGTTCGATCTCTGGTACAAATAAAAAAAGAAAGACAAAAAAAAAATGAACACACACATATACCTCAGACCAAGTTCTATTATGATGGCTCCAGTCTGGGCCACTCTGGGCTCACTTTGAACCCACAAATAACTTGGAGGGAGTGGCTTTCTGCTAGGGAGTGGTGACTGATCTGGGATGGTAGCTAGCGTTGGGGAGGGGACCATGCAGGGCCTGTGGCCACCCAGTGAGACCACAAGGAACTTTGCTTCCATAACGGGAAAGGTAATGCTACCAACACTGAAGTGCCCAGCCAGCTGCTCTGACAGCTGGAACTGCTGCCGGGAAACAGTAAGTTGTGGAGGCTTTTAGCAGAGCCACCTCCAAGTGTGGCAGCATCTGTGTGGATTTACTCTGTTCTCAGTTGGGGGAAGTGATGGGAAGACCCCAAAATGGGGATAAATCCTAGTCACTCCTCCCTTTTCCCTTCTGGTGATTTGCTAGTTTCTGCTGGAAACCTCACATTACTTTATTTTTAAAAATTGAAGGGGAAAATTACACATGAGATCTGCATGATATTAAGGATGACATTCTCTGCAAAGAAATACGGCAGACAGTCATAGCTCTAGGCACCTAACTTAATTTCCTTTGGGAGTTAAACCTTAGAACCCTGATTGAACAAACAGGCCTTGTTCTTTGTGTATTTCAGAGCTGAGCTGAGAATGTTAACAGATCTCATCAGCAGGACGCTGGAGAGAGACAGCTGTGATGGAGCGGCTCCCGGAGCCCTCACAGGCAGCAGGCCACTGCTGTGATGCAGCTGTGCAGCTGTGGGAAAAGCTGTGCAGGCCTGGGGTTTGGGGCTCCAGAAGCTCACTGGGTCCCTGTGGAGTTGCCTAGCTCAGCCACAAATAAAATCGGGAGTGACTAGGACAGTGACACTGTCATTTCATGAAACTTTATGGAGTTCCTACAAGGGACTTGCCTCTTCTCCTTATTTTGCAGGACAGTAGGGGCCAAAAGGGTGAGGAGACAGCCTACAGGACTCCAGAATACAAATGTGACAGATGGCAGCGGGCACCTTGAGAAGCCTGTATACTTGGTGCTCTTTTCTCTTTCTCATCTGATGGGGGAGATGAAGGTAGACTTGGCATCACCCAACAGCCTGGAAGTCCAGCAGTCCCCACTCCAGCCAGCCCCACGTCTCCAGGTCACATGCTCAGTTCAGTCGGACTGGAGTCCCAAGTGTCACACATTGCCTCAAAAATTCAGGCTGGCCAGCTGGAGAGGAAGGCAAGCCATACCCCAAGATGGATTAAGTGGGGCCGGAGAGGAAAACTTCTAGGTCAGCCTGATGGGTGTATGCACTTCAACTGTTCTTCTGTTAAAACAACAACAGTTTCTCTAGACTAGAAAAAAGCAGTAGCAATCATGACGACAGTGACAATGACAGCTGAACTTCTGAAGAGGAGGGTATAACATGCTTAAGTTTGTGCATGAAGAGCCCTTGGCGAGAGGAGATCTTCTGTCCTAAGCAAGGGTGAGCAGTGCACTCCCGTGAGGCTTTCCAGAATGTGGAGATGTTGGAGATGTGGGCTCCTAGGTCAGAGAACCAGGGCAAGGCTGAGGCACCTGCATTTTAAAAAAACATCCAAGAGCTCACAGGGGATGAGCACTAGGAAATAGGACTGGAGGGAAAGGGAAGGTGGGACGGGCTTAACCAGCAGGTGGGGGCTACAGCTCCACCACCACCAAACCAGCTGAGCAGTGGGCTCCCCTGTCCCCTCCCACCTTGGACCAAGGAAGGGCTTGGAATCTAGGTTAGCAAATTATTCCAATGGACTCACGCCAGGTCCCTTAGGACAGCCTGGCTGGTTGGTGGTCAGGGAAGATTGTCAACAACTTTTCAATTCCCCAGGCCCCAACAACTTCCAAGCAAGGAACCTGAAAAGTGATCTTTCTCCTGTGCCCACTCGGAGCAGGCCTGGCTGCTGCAGATCTGACGCCCATTTGCATGTCTGTGGTCGTGATATTTCGGAGTGGCTGACAATGCCCACTCCATCCCCCTGGTATGACAATCCACCCTTTGTCCAGGGCCTTGTTTGCTTTTGGTGTTGACACATTGTTCTTGCTTCCCAACAAGCGTGGCTCTCTTTTCCCTCCCTGTCCTTCTCTCAGAAGGACATGTGGCTGGGCCTGCCAAGGTCCATTCCCAGGCCCAAGGTCCATTCCGGCACCCAGGATGGCAGTGGAGGTGGTGAGAACAAGAAAGCAGTCCTGCCTGCTGTGACCTTCCACTCCGATGGGCATCCCAATCTACCCGGGAGGGGGAGAGCCACATGCCTGTGGAAAGGGGGGTCCAGCAGGGACCCCAACAGGCGCACTGTTCTTGGTGGGTGGGAGAAGATGGCTTTGGTGGCCCAGGATTGGGTTTGGCTGTGTGCTGTGGCACACAGTGGGGAGTCATAACTCTCTCCTTCCTCAGTACTCTGCTGGACTTTACGGTCTTAGAGGCGTAGCCCCGCATGGTGAGGAGTGTGGACAGCATAAGCAGAGATCTCCAGGGACAACCAGTGTGGCCGAGGCCACCAGTGGAAGGAGAAATGGAAGCTGTCACAAGGAGCTGCCCAGGGCCTGAGACAGTCTTCCACAGGAACTGGGTGTGGCAGGAGGCTGCGGGGAGCAGGACAGCCCACTTGTAACAGCTGGTAGGCGTCTCTCTAGAGCTAGGGGCCTCCCTTCAGGGCTCCCAGGGGTGGCCAGGCCTGGGGCAGCAACCTGGGTGAGCTGTCAGACACCACACAGCTGAGAAAGCATCATAGGGCCTAAGCAAACATTCTCCTCTGCGCCACGTGACCCCTCTGTGACCTCTGGGCTTGAGACTTCTTCCTTCAGCTGGCTGGCTGGGATGGGCTCTGCTCAGGAGACTGACACCCAGGGACACAGGCCTCCACAGCCTGGGGACCCAGGAGAAGAGAGGCAGGGAGGCCTTGGCAGGCTCTGAAAACCCTCTCACAAGGCTCAAGATGGCTGACAGATTTTCCAGTCCCAGCAAGGCTGGGTGGCAGAGGGAGGGCAGGTGGTGAGAGCAAGCTGGTGAGGAGCTGGTACTGCTTTTGCCTCCGCAGATCCTCAAAAATGCGTGACCATCCACCTGGCCCAAGGACACCATGCTGTCCTGCACAGCAGCGTCCTTACTCTGCTGGGCCCGAGCCTCTCGGAGATGGAGGGAATACATGCCCACCTGGGAGAAGGTGGGTGAAGGGGCCTCTCTGGAGCCATCCCTCGAACTCTGGCAAAAGGCCCGGGTTCTCTAACCTGCCTTTCTCCCTCAGCCTCTCCTCTGTCACTCTCCCCCCATGCACACAGGTTGTCTGTGCCTTGCTTTCCACCAGGAGATAACAGGTCTGGGCTGGGAGCCAGAGCAAGGTGCCAAGGCTGTGAGTGAGGCCTCCCAGGCTGATGCAAGAAAATCCTCCCTGTCTCTCCCACTTCAGCGGGACTCACATCCTGGATTCTCAGTTCTCTACATCCTGGGTTTGGTGCATTCAGCTTCTTCCTGCTCTTCTGCCCCCAACAGGTTGGGCACACAGCCGTAGGAGACACCCCCAGCCCAGAGCACTCGTGAAAGATGCCTTTGTGTTGCGTTCACATGGTGAGGCCTGGGGCCCTTCTTGGTGTGGCAGAGTGGGCCCCACCTGTGACTATAAGTCTAACCCTAGCCTCAAAGAATCCTGCAGACTCCCAGGGTGACAGCTACACCCCAGGAGAGACCTAAAGGCCCACAAGTCATTACAAGCCCAGGTTCCCACATGCTAGGGAGCTGCCTGTGACCACAGAGGCAAGACCCTAAATGGGAAGGTGAGCTGGCCTACAGATGCAGAAACTGCTGACTGTCTGGGGAGGTGTGGGTGTTGGCTCCAGGGCTGAGAGGCTGGCTGGCTGAGGGGAGGCAAAGGAGGGGAGTACTCTCAGAGCTCTTGCAAAGGGCCTGAGAAACCCCTCAATATTTCTGGGATGTGGGGCCAGCCTTCCCCAGAGCTCTGCTGTGAGCAGGCCCATGGTGAACCACACTAATGAGCCCATAACACAGGCCTTTGACTAAACAGCTCCCAGCCCAGCAACTTTATTGAAAAATACCAAGGCCAGCGGCTCATTCCCACCACTCCCAGGTTCCCTGGGCAACAGCCCACGGGTACGAAGTGCCCCAGCTCACTGAGGGGCTGCCAGGCAGGGAGGGAGTTGGGAATGCCAGATGCCAGGGGACCATCTACAAGGTTTCGAAGCTTCCTTCCAGATGACTGAGGGGCCACATGACATCTGCTGAGTCCTCTAGGGCCTGCAGTTCTGGGACCGCTGGTCACCCCACCACTCCAGCCAGGGAGACATTCCCAGGGTTTGGACGACGTGAAGGACACGTTCAGAGTTGAGGGTGGGACACAAAACTGGATGGACTTTCTTCTTGGGTTCAAGGAGACTCTAGTCCCTGTTTCCCCTCAAAATGGAGGTGGACCTTGGACAGTGCACGGGGCCTACAAGAGACTCATGCTGAGAGGTGGCAGCAAGGTCACCTCTTGTAGTGACAGCCTGCGAACTCTCAGAGGTCTCAGGAGTCGGGGTCTCCTGCACAGCCCACATCCCTCTCCCCTAGCTCTGCTGGGGGAGAGGTCCATGCCCTCAGGTTCGTGGCAGAGGGCCAGTAGACTGGGATATAACTGGGGTCAGGAGTAGGGGGATTTCCACTTGTGCTGGGTTGATTTCAAATGTTACATTTCAGAGCTTTTGCTACAGTAACTAGCAACACCACTGTGGACAGAAATCTAATGTTACCAAGTGGGACTTTTAAAATGTATTTATAACTTTATGGTTCAAAGTAATTTTGTTATGAAACAATGTAATAACAACAGTGGAAAAAGGCAAGATAATTTATGGAATGCAATATCCCTAAAGCCCTAGCATCCATTTCTACCTCTGCTGAGTCTGGGGAGTGTAGCTGGTGTTCTTTGTTTGCTGTTTGTTTTAATTAAGGGTTAGGATTTTGGTGGAAGAGGGAGGAGGAGGCTGACTTGAGGAGAAAGAATTATACAGGCAGACACACACTGACAAATGTGTCAGTATCAAGAGTAATAATGTTTGGTCAGTTGTGGTGGCACACACCTGTAATCCAAGCACTCAGGAAGCTGAGGCAAAAGGACTGCTACAAATTCAAGGCCAGCCTGGGCCACATAATGAGTTCAAGACCAGCCTGAGCTACACAGTGAGCCCTGTCTCAAAACTAAACAAGAAGAGTGTACATGCTTTGCAGACCCCAGACTGGGCTAAACCCACAAACCTTTATGAACAGCCCCCCCCCAACACATTCACCATAATTCTCTTATATTCTCTTCAGCACCGCACAAACAAACCTGGGTCAGCCTTTCTTCCTCTTCTTTCTTCTGTTGTTTCTCCCTCCTTTTCTCTTCTTTCTTTCTCTCTTCTTCCTTCCTTCCACTTTTTCTTTTTCTCTGTCTCTCCTACCCCGCCCTTGCTGGGGACCCCGCCTTCCCTTTTTCTCCTCCCTCCTGTTCCTTCTCTCTTTTGGTCTGTCTCTCTGTCCCTCTTCCCCTTGGGGATTGAACTCAGAGCCCAGTACATGGTAGGTAAGTCCTCTCCTTCTGAGCTACACCCTTGGCCCGGAATTCCGTCTAGACATTTCTGAGAGAGAGAGATGGTAAAGTGTTCCTCCCACTAAGGAGTGCGGAGTAACACCCATGAGAGGGTGGCAGGTATGCGCAGAACGAGGCCAGGGGTTTTAGCCCCAGCACTGTGTTTGGCTTTGGCTCTGAAGCTGAGCTGCCTGGGACCAGCCAGCAGGTGTCTGCTCAGACGGGCTGGGCTCAAAGCAGAACTAGCAGAGCTGTTAGATGGGTGTGTGGGGGACCTCTAGCCCCTGCAGCCTACCCATCTCCACCCAGGAAGATGCCACCTGCTAAGACTTCTGGTAAGATTTCCACATAGCTACTGCTGACTGGCATCCACAGCTCCTGTCTTGATCATCCTGGATTCCTGTACCTTAGTTTAGTTAGGATTTGGAAAGCCCTATTACCCCATACCTGGATTTCCACAGGAACCAGAACCATCACTGGCCAGAAAAGTGGTCACTTGTGTTTCAGGTGAGGGGAAGGAGCTAGGAAGGACCACTGGAACCGTGGGCACAGGCAGCTGACCCACACTTGTGAGTACACATAGGCCTCAGGCCCTGATCCAGCCCCTTGGGAAGGGGTACCACCAAGAGCTGCATGGGGCGGGGGGGGGGGGCAGGAGAGCTTGCAGAAAGAAGTAGGGAGAGGAAAAGGGCCTCCTCACTTGTAACCAGGGTCCATGAGCTGCGTAAGGATGCTCCTCTGTGGCAAAAGCACCTTCCACTCCCGTGGACACAAATGTGATGGCCATATCACCTGTGATACTTTTATACGTAAAGTGCCGTCCATGCAGGAGCCTGCCCCTGGGGGTAGGAACAGGAGACAGTGAGGAACTGGCCCTTTGAACACCCCAAAGGGCAGCAGGCCGGCCATGCCTCTGGGCCTACAGTGCTGTTCCCTGAGGTGGGGTGCCTAGCAGATGCCTTCCTCATGGCCCACCTGCCCACAAACAAGGCTGCTGTCAAACTCCAGCTGGGTGTGGTAGCACACATCAGTAATTCTGCAGTCGGGAGGCAGAGGCAGAAGGATCACAAGGATGCGTCCAGCCTGGGCACTTTAGTGACCCAGACAGTCTGTCTCAAAATAAAAAATTTAGGACCCAGGTATGATGGTGCACACCTGTAATCCCAGCACTCAGAAGGCTGAGGCAGGAGGATTATGTGAGTTCTAGGCCAGCCTGGACTACATAGCCTAGACTTTATCTCAAGAAAAACCAGACCAAACCAACCAACCAAAACAAACAAATAAAAACACGCTAAATCAAACAAAACAAAAACTTTTAAAACAGGGTGGGAATATAGCTTAATTTGAAGACCCTGTGTTAAATCTCCAGTACTGGGTAGTGGGGAGCAAGCAGGCACCAGCAGCTCTATCACTAGTTCCTTAATGCCACCCTTAACGCTGGAAGCCAGGAGGCCACTCTAGAGCAGAGTTCAAATGGCCTCAAGGGTGGTGGAGGGCCCTCACCTGTAGGTGAGAGGGGAGAACCCTGAGGCCAGAGGGGCAAGTCACCTCCCCTCTGGGGATGGAGGTGGAGAGGTACCCATGCAAATGGCAGTGTGGTGCCTTCACAGCGGGACACTTAAACCTTTCATCTGCTCCTGTAACATTTAAATAGCTATCTGCAAAGCCAGAGCACAGCTTCAAAGATAAAGCGGAAGCTGAGTGGGGTGATGCTGAGGGAGTAGCAAAAAGTCACCCTCCAATCCTTGGTCTGGAAGTACATCTGGGGGAGGGTAGGATGCCAGTGAGCAAGAGAAGCAAACAAAACCTGCTTCTCTAGGCCACCTCGTATCAGCCCTGCCAGCCCCTGTTCACTAGAACTATTTGCTGCTTTTGCCCTGGATGGCTAGCCAGGTCTGGTCACCTTCCAAATGCTTTCTCCAGACTCCAGGGACAACGAGGACCATGACCCATACAACCACTTCTTCCTTGTCACTGTCTTGAGTTTACAGGAATCCCTTCTTTTTCTCCCTTCCTTTTTTTTGTTTTTCTTTTAATCGGTATCGGGGATCGAACTCATGACCACTTGCTTGCAAGGCAGGTGCTTATGCCGCTGAGCTAAATCCCCAGCCCCTTCTTTCATTCTTTTGTTCTGTGTTTTGTTTTGTTTCTGAGACAGAACCTTGATATATACTACAGGCTGGTCTTGAATTTGTCAGTCCAGGCTGGCCTCAAACTCCTGATCCTTCTGCTTCAGCCTCCCAAATGCTGAAATTACAGGTAGGTGTTACCATGTGCCGCATTTCTTTGAGACAGGGTCTTGCAATGTAGTCCAGGCTTGCCCTGAACTTGGTCTTGAACTCAGGATTTTTCTGGCTCGGTCTCCTGAGTGCTGGGATTCCAGGTGTGCACTCCCATGCCCAGCTTTGGAGTGATTCTTCCTGCTTCCTCTGCTAGCAATCTGAGGATAGAAGCCAGAAAGCCATGCAGTGCTGCTCCATGAGTCAGCCCAAAGCAGCGGCCCCTGAGCAGACTGCTGACTTCTGGCCTTAGGGCTGCATTTCCCACTATGATCAATGGCAGAAGGGACACAGTTGGGCTTCTTGGTCTCTCAAGGAGTCAGCTGCACTGGTCGCTGTGTTCTCAGGGAAAAGCAGCAAACAGGCAGAAGGAAGAGCCCAGCCTACCAGAACCTACTTCCCAACAGCCCAGTTCTGTTGGTGGCCCTGGGCTCACAGGACGGCAGGGGTCATCTGACCCCTTAGTAAACTTTGGTTACTAAGCCTCTCCAAGGTGGGCAAGGCTGATGGACAAATCCTGAATGAAGAAGTGTTCTTTAGCTCCTATTCCTTGTAGCTTCTAAGCCTCCCAAACTAGCCAGACTAAAGACTAACAGGATGCTTGGGCATAGCACTTTGCACACCAAGGCTGCCTCTGCTTGAGTGAAGAGATGCAGAAGAGAGCCTCGCTCAGAGATGTTCCTTGTCACAGGGTCCCCTGGCTACCCCCACTGCTTGCAACTTTGCATCACCTTGGTATCTTGAGGTTTGGTGGGGAGGAATACCGTGCAGACCAGTGACACAGGGGTTACAGGCTCGGGGTCCTGCAGGCCAGAGTGTTTTCTCCTCCCTCTCTAGCCCCAGACTGCTTAGGTATGTGGGCTGGCCACAGGGGACTCCTCAGTGACTGGCATGCACAGGCATGGTGGCTGCCGCAGGAGGGGATGGGGGGCTGTGCAGTCCCTGTTGCTAAGCTGCACGGTGGGCAGTCTTCGCTCACCTTAGGCAGAGAGGAATGAGGGCTCCAGACTCCTGGTTGAATTTCAAATGCACACTCTCAAGTTGCCGTGTGCGGATCAGCTCATGGGGAATTATGGCTGTGGAGCTGTCACTTTCTAGGCTGTCTTTGCGGCTCCTGCAAAGCAAGCACAGGGACAGGCTCAGTGTGGGTGAAGAGCACTGGGGGGAGCAGACAGGAGCTCGGGGCTGGGGTCCTGATCACTAACAATCGCGGTGCACGATCATGAGAACAGCATCTGGTCTTCACCATGCACCTGTTGGGTGCCAGCTGTGTACCAAGCACACTCCCTGGCTGGCTGCTCCTCAGTGGTCTCCCTCCAGGTGGGCAATATTACCATTTTCCTTTTATAGACAAGGAGCTGGGGTCAGGGAGGCCAAGCTACTTACCAGATCCCACACCCAGTGAAGGCTGGGGCTGGTGTCTGGTCTCAGTAGGCCTGGATCTAGGGCCTCTGTTGTGGTGAACAGCATTCAACATTACAGTCTGCACCACAGTGGCTTCTGTTCCCTGTGAGATCACCAGGGTCTCCTGGGAGCCCTTGCACCCCCTTCCCTAAAGCCCAAGACTCTAGCTCTCCATGGCTGGTATGAGAAAGCACCATGAGACCCAGCTCTAAGGGTTCCTGTCCAGCTGACCTGAAAAGGTTTCACACTCATGGCCATGCTGCACACAGGTGCCCTTTATCCAACCAATCCTCCTTCAGTGGGAGAAGGTGACCCTCGGTTGTCAGACCAGTGAGCCTGCTTCAAGCTCTATGGATTCCTCTTGACTATGACCTTGGCTGCAATGAGCTGCCACTGCTGCCCTGTTCCCCACCAACAGCCTGTCTGATCCCTGGGCCAAGGGGCCCTCTGCATGCTAAGATTTGCTCTTTTAAATTCAGCTGCTCCAACTGACACCCTCTCAAATCCGCCTTGGCAGGAAATGAGGGTCACCCACTGATCCCACTCAAAAGGCCGGATTCTGGTTTGGGCTGTGAATCTCAGGACAATTCCCCAATGTCCATCAAAATACTGGGTGAGAGGTTCTAGTTATTTATCATTCAAGTGGCAGGCAGGAGCCACTAGGACGTCTGGGTTGCCCAGCCCCTGAGGGGGAGGACCGAGCTCCTCACACACCAGCTGCAGCTAGCTGGTGGCACACAGGCACAGCCCCTGCCCAGGCAGTGTCCCCAAGGTGAAGGGGACAGTTCCTCCCTGCTCCACAACTCCTCCCTCCAAGATCCACCCAGAGCTGACTGTTTTCACAAAGGTGGTTGGTCCCTTCCTCTGGAGGCCCAGAGCTGACATGGGAACTTACTCCTGGCTTTTCCTTGGCAAGTTTTCCCAAGACCTGTGGAGAAGACAAACATTACAGCCCAGCCCAGAGGGTCACAGTTTGTGAGAGCAGGAAGGAAACCCAGAGGTTATTTTATCGACCTCTTCCTTTTCAAAAAAGGGACACAAGGAACCCCAGGCCGCAGAGCAGGTCTGAGGCTGGCCAGCATGGGGACCTTAGACTTGTGGCCAGCTCTCTCTTCTACCGAGGCTGCTGTGCCTTGGGGTAGCACTGAACCCCATCTCTCAGTCAGGCACTGCTGAAGGGCTCCTCAGGGCCCAAACAAAAGCAGAGGGCAGGAAGTGGCGGCAGCACCCACGTTTGCAGAGTGCCAGGTCCTCCCAGTGAGCCAGGTTGCCAGGCTCTCCCAGTGAGCCTGACTTAGGTGCTCATGGAGGAGGTGAGGTGATAAGTCTAAGGTCCAAGCACCAGGCTTTTACCTTTTTTTAACTTTTACTTTTTGAGGTGCTGGGAATGGAGATCCTCACACACACTAGGCCAATACTGTTTCACAGAGCTATACCCCTTGCTACCTGGCATCAAGAGGAAAAGCTCTCACAGTCACTCCCCTTTGCCATCCCCCAACGGGTTCTCCACAAGGCATACCCCCATGCTCCCCAAGAGGCTGTGGTTGGTCAGGTCTGTGTGGGTGGCGCCCACCAGGGTCCCAGCCTCTCACACACCCGGCGAAAATGCTGACCAAGAGCAATGGGAGGTGGGGGTGGAGGCGAGGAGAGCAGAATCAACAGCCCACAGCCTAGAGATGTCTGAAGCTGGAGGGAAAAATAAATTGTTGAAAGTCAGCTAAAGTCACCTTGGTAACTGCCACAACACACTCACCCAGAAGGAGGACATCAAACCCAACTGCAAACAGCCTTAAAGAAATGGAAAAGAACTTAATCATCTGAAGAATTAATGTGACAAGTGCCCACATTTACACCTCCCACCAACATTCAATCATTTGAAAAAATGTACTTTAATCTTTTAAGAGAAGAAAAATTGCAAAATGCTAGATCTGCAGTCTTACAGCTTGGGTATTTCCGGCATGCTGCTTCAATGGAAACGTGGTGCTCACAGACACACACAGGAGCCCGGCTTTTTGCTGATTTGTTTTTTTCTGGACATCGATGCAGAAATACGAATTATTTGTGTGGGTTGGGTGAGGTATTAAATCTGCAGCCGACACAAATTTGCAATGTTTTGCATGGTTGTCAGCTTAATCTTAGTCATAAAAAAACAAGCAATGTGCTCAGCAGCATGGCCTAATTTTTCAGCTGGGCTGTTTTCTTCCAGAGCTCCCCACAGAAAAGGCAGGAGTTTGGGACTGACAGGGAGGGGCTCCTGGGAAGGCAGGACTCAGTTTACTGGGACTGCGAGGGGCGCACAGGTTCCGGGTCTGAGTTTACAAGAGCTTGACAAATGATTTAACCTCTCTCAGCATCTTCTTTTTTTTTTTTTTTTTTTTTTTTTGTCTTTTTCCTTTTTATCGGTACCAGGGATCGAACTCACGACTGCCTGCTTACAAGGCAGGCACTTATGCCACTGAGCTAAATCCCCAGCCCCTCTTGGCATCTTCTTAATGGGCATAAGTAACAGCACTGCACCAAAGCACTAACTGCTCAAATCCAGCTGACTGCTACTCAGTCCTCTGTTCTACCATAGGAATGTGAGTGATTTAACAGAAGCTTGTTTCCTGGGCCCAGAATCCAACTGTCTCTGACCAGGTCAGTTCTGCTGAGCAAACGTCCTGCTGTTGGCTTCGGAGACGAGACTTCAGAAATGAGGTGCAAAAGGGCTCCTGACTCTTGCTGTAGACACTGTGGGTCATAGTTGAGCAATGGTGAGACTGGAACAGGCGACAAAATCTGAGGCCTTTGCGCTGCTGTGGGAGGCAGCCTCATCTACAGACCACAATCTGCCACAGTGCGAGTTTAACCAAGCCAGATCACAGAGGCTGTGTGACTGCTCTCATGTGGGACACTTTCTTTCTGTTAGAACTGTCATCCAATTGTCTACTTCCTGTCATTTCCTCAAACTTCCACCTCCCCGAGGTTCCCCCTGGGCTGCCTTGCCCGCTCCTTCCCTGTCTACTACACACTGTTAGTTATTTGATGCTGACAGCACAGCTCTGCTACCTGGCAGGGTTTCAGGCAGTTTGATAATTGTGGGAACTGGGTCTGTCCTCTTGCATACCCACATTCCTTCCTGACTTTGTGTCTCTGACTAAACTGATGAACTTGCCACCAGCGCTCTCATCCTGGGCTGACTAAGCAGCTAACCAGCTAGCATTAGGCCGACAGACCACACCACTCTGAGTATGCCCATGCATTCAACTGCAAACCACCCCACCCGCCCTCGCCCTCCTGGGTGCTCTCTGTACATTTCTGTCTTGCCTATAATGCTGTCAGGACACTCAAAATGTGCTACATCTTGCCAACCTGAGGTCCCTGGCGCTCCTTGGTCAACCAGGCGAGGGAACACAGCTCATGCCTGACTCTCTGACTCCAGAGTGTTTCCCTTAGAGTAGTCTAGAACCTCTTGCTGATAAGCTGTCGAGAATGCTCCTGAGAGCCACATCAAGTTCACTCCTCTGGAGCTGCAAGAAGCTCTTGAGCTCAGCAAATGTTTGAGTGCTTTTGGCCTCCTAATAGCTCAGTGGCAGAGCACTCACTTAGCAACAGAGGCCCTGGGTTCAACCTCCAGGGAAGGAAAGGAGGGAGGAGAAAGGGAGAAAAAGAAGGCAAAAGAGAATCCTGACTGGAGCCTCGGTCTCTCACCTGCTAGGTCTCTGGAGTCCTTGGGCGCGATGCATTGGTACATGTGTCTGAGTGGTTGGGAAGCACAGACCTGTGCTCTCACCGCCACCTGTTTGACCTTCTCTACACCGAGCATTTGTTTGAGATGGACGCGTAACACATTCCACACGCTTTTGTTTTCTGTCAGTGAATAGCATTGCTCTGTACAAACAGCAAGGCCTAGGTTTTCTTTTTGTGCCAAAGGGAAGTATTAGAATAAAGTGGTTTTTTGCTGATCACAGCACTTTTTAGCAAGACTGTTCCCCCCGCCCCCGGAACCAGGGATTGAACTCATGACCTTGTGCTTACCAAATAGGTGCTTATGCTGCTGAGCTAAATCCCCAGCACCTTTTCGTTTTTGTGGGTGGTGTTGTGGGGGTCTTTCTAAATTGCTAAACTGAGCTGGGTAGGATGGCACAAAGCTATAATTCCAGCACTTGTGAGACTGAGGCAGGAGGATTGCCAAGAGTTTGAGGCCAGGTTGGGCTACACAGTGACTTCAAGGACAGTCTGAACTGCATAGTGAAATGCTGTCTCAAAAACAAAATAAACAAAACAAACAAAATTAAAAAGTAGCAGATAAACTGCCCAGGCTAGGTTCAAACCTGCCTCAGCCTCTCAGAGTGCTGGGGATACAGGTGTGTGCTGCCTGCCTGCCTAAGACTTAATTCTAGGCGTGTGGTGGCACATTTCTGTAATTTCAGCACTTGGGAGGTTGAGGCAGGAAGGTTGTCACAAGTTCAAGGCCAGCCTACACAGTGAGCAGGAGGCCAGCCTAAACTTACATAGCAAGATCGCACAAAATGAAACAAAACACAACACAAACATAAAGCAAAGCCAACACAAAAGGAAGCAAAACAAAACAAGCAGGCTCAGTTCTTGAGTTGCAGCTTTTCTTTTCCCTTGGTTTCTTGATACAAGGTCTGCCTACGTAGCCAGACTGGCCTTGCGCCCACTATGTAGTCAGGCTGGCCTTGAACTGGCAGCGGTGCTCTTGCCTCA